GCTAAATTCAGCAGTCTAGTCCATTGATTGTTCTAATCTAGGCCAACATGTGTCAAGCCAAGGGGTCTGGGGACCAATTTTTTCTCACTGTATTTAAAAAAACAGTCTTTCATTAGATTGCTTAATTAGGTGGAGAATTTATCTTTCAACTGTTGATGGAGATCGGCTTGTCATTGATCTGATGATTTCCTTAAGTCTCTTTTTTCTCATTCTGGAATCTGATTTAACACTTTGGAATTTCTTGTCTCGGCATTTCTATGGAACAATTCATGAATGTCCTGTGGAATCTTGCAGAAAAGATCAAACAAGAGAAGTTTCAATATCTATGTCTTCCATATGTGGCCAGTAAGTTGGGATGGGAGTGAGGGGGTATTTATAATGGAGGAGTAAGTGTTGAGTTGAAGGTGGGAGCTGCCTATTCATTTGACAAACATGCCTTGGTGGAGTAAGTCATCATCAAAAGATGAAAAGAAGAGAGCAAACAAGGAAGGTATCATTGATGCAATACACAGGAAATTCAGAAATGCAACTGAGGATAAGAGCAGTGGTGGTAGAACTGCTGGGTACTGGCGACGTGCTAGAGATGTTCTCTCAGAGAGAGGATCTCTTTCCCGAGTCCCATCAAGATCTCCATCACCTTCCACGCAGGTCTCACGGTGCCAAAGTTTTGCAGAAAGACCAGCTCAACCACTTCCTCTTCCTGGTGCAAGAGGTAAAACCATTGCCCGCTCTCATTCTGGAGTGAGTGGTTCTCCAAAGCCAGGTTCCGATGCAATATCCAAGCATTTGCACTTATTACCCCTTCCAAGGCCTGGGAATGTTTCTAATAGGTTGGACCGGGTAAATGTTGAAGTGGATATAGGCACTGCTTCTGTATCTAGTGATAGTTCAAGTGACAGTGAAGATCAGTCAGATTCACGTCTCCTTAGTCCCTTGACATCAGACTATGAAAATGGGAACAGAACTGCTGCAAATAGCCCTTCTAGGTGAGGACTGCGTTTCTTCTTTAATGTTCTGTTTTTTTTTTTTTTTTTTTTTTGTAGTTTAGTGTGTAGTCTCTCTGACTTAATTTGTCTATGGATGGTGCCAAAAGCATGATGCAGAAGGATAGGTCTCCGCTTCTTAGTCGAAAGAACTCAGGCGAGATGTTGAAGCATGCCGACTTTTCACTGAATAACAATCAGAAACCATCTGTATCGTCTAGAAGGGCGCATTTAAGCTCTCATGTACAAAATTTACAGATACCTAACAGAGGTGTACTTTTCAGTGCCCCTGACAGCTCAATGTCGAGTCCATCCAGGAGCCCAATCAGGTTATTTGGAGCAGAACAAGTTGTAGTAAAAACTGGTTTATTATTACATGGGAAGAATTATGCAGATGTAGTAGGTTTACTAGGATCTGGGCATTGCTCAAGTCCAGGTTCGGGTTATAATTCTGGGCAAAACTCAATAGGTGGAGATATGTCAGGGCAGTTATTCTGGCCAAACAGTAGATGCAGCCCTGAGTGCTCCCCAATACCGAGTCCCCGAATGACAAGTCCCGGGCCGAGCTCCAGAATACAGAGTGGGGCTGTGACACCTCAGCATCCACGGGCTGGTGGGGGTTTGGCAGAGTCTCCTAAGGGAAGGCACGAGGACACTAAGAAACAGAGCCATCGATTACCTGTTCCACCAATAACAATCTCTAATACTTGTCCTTTCTCACCTGCTTATTCCGCCGCAACCTCTCCTTCACTACCACGGAGTCCTAATAGGGCAGAAAACCCTACAAGTCCTGGTTCACGCTGGAAGAAGGGCCGTCCATTAGGGCGAGGCACGTTTGGGGATGTATTTCTTGGATTTAACAGGTCTGTATGACTATGGCCTCAGATCAAGCTCTAAGCATGATGATTGTGGTGCTTGCCATTTCTCATAGATGCTTCTTCAACATTTCACTGATGGAGATTATATTATGTTTACTTAGTGAAAGTGGGGAGATGTGTGCAATGAAGGAAGTAACTCTATTTTCAGATGATGCAAAATCAAGAGAGAGTGCTCAGCAGCTGGGACAAGTAAGGGATGTTTCCTTTTCTTTCTTTCGATTGTCTGTGATTCTCTTTTTTTATCTGACTTAAACATTGTACTAAATTTTATCTATCTGGCAGGAAATTGCTATGCTGAGTCGCTTAAGGCATCCTAATATAGTGCAGTACTACGGATCTGAAACGGTATATGTTCTTTTGAACTTGAAAATCATAAATCTTTCTTTGGAAAGGATGTTGCAACATAGGATTTGACATTCGAGAATTGACTGGCAATCAGTGGTGTTGTTTGTTTTAGCTGAACTTGTTACCTTTACTTACATTGAGCAGGTGGATAACAAGCTTTATATTTACTTGGAGTATGTTTCTGGTGGCTCCATTTATAAACTGCTTCAAGATTATGGTGCATTTGGTGAAATAGCCATCCGTACTTACACTCAGCAAATATTATCCGGGCTTGCTTATTTGCATGGTAAAAACACTGTACATAGGTGCGTATCCTTTGTTAGTGGTCTAATGCATAATAATCCCAACTTACAAGTCATTGGAACATATTTTGCCAACTCATGCATGTTTTCATTTTTTGTGTAGAGACATAAAGGGAGCAAACATTCTGGTGGATCCAAATGGGCGTGTGAAAGTGGCAGATTTTGGGATGGCAAAGCATGTAAGAGATATATAGTTTTGATGTATTTGAGTGTATGAAATTGCATATGTAATCTACTTATTTAAAACCAGCATGCACATGGAATGTTAAAGTAGTAGCACTAATAAAAAAACAAATAGAAAGAGCTCAATAGATCAAAGAGATGCAATCTCAAATACATGGGAACACGGAGTATTTGAAAATGAATTTGAGGAAAGTGGGTTTCATTTTGGTGGTTTGATTGCCTGTGCAAATGCATGAATTATACAATGGTTTTACAAATACAACTCCAAGTAATAGAATGCAAATTGAATAGCATAGAATCTAGACTAATAACATTCATTTACAGGCCGGTATACCAAACCAAACACACCTTACCTCGTTCTCAGAAATACAAAAATGATGTTATCTTTCCTAACATTGGTTCTCTACTTGGCTGAACTATTCTGCAGATTAGTGGCCAATCATGTCCATTATCATTCAAAGGAAGTCCATACTGGATGGCACCTGAGGTCAGTATCTTATTATTGTCTCCTTATTGTACATTTATTTTTGCTTACTAATGCTCCAGTTGGTAATTTGTTTCCAAAATTTCTCTAGTTGTTTCAGGTGATTAAGACTTCAAACGGTTGTAATCTTGCCGTTGACATATGGAGCCTGGGGTGCACTGTTTTGGAGATGGCAACTGGAAAACCTCCTTGGAGCCAGTATGAAGGGGTTAGTATAACATGAGCTCAGAATTGCTTGTAGTTATTCCAGATGCTTTAGAAGTGAGGAGCTGATTTACCTGACTTTTAACCTTTGCTTGTCTTTTTTCCTCATTGGAAGGTTGCTGCTATGTTTAAGATTGGAAACAGTAGAGAGCTTCCTGCAATTCCGGATCATCTATCAGAAGACGGGAAGGACTTCATTAGGCAATGTCTACAACGGAATCCATTGCATCGCCCAACATCTTCTCAACTCTTAGAGCACCCATTTGTGAAGAATGCCACACCTCCGGAGAGGCTAATCATGACGGCTGAGGTCCCAGAACCGACCACAACTGGAAGATTAATGGTACTCCAATATATTGCCTGCCCTCTGCTGTCTTTGCCTCATCGATTTGTTTTTGTCATTGCTTTCCTTGTGGCTAAAATGACTGAACATTTTCATGCTATTGTACTTGTTTTTCCCTGTATTTCAATTATGTCCATGATCATAACCTGGTTCCATTTCACCCAACAAGGTCGCTTTATTTCTCTTGTGGCCGTTGTTTGTCATTAACTGACTACTGGGATGCAATCTTCAATTAGGGCATTGGACATGCGAGAAGCTTTGACACGGAAGCAATTCCTATTCATCAATCTAGAGTCTCAAGAACTGGTTCAGGATTCAGGTTTTCTCCTCTTTCCAGCCTTGCTATGCAGTTATTCTTGTTTGTGTGCTGAGCCTGAGTCTCGAGAATTGGTTGAACGACATTCTTACCGAAACTTGAGATGCACAACCATCATATTTATTTTCTTATCGAACTTATTGAATTTGTGAAACTTGCGAAACTTTAAAATCAAGGGATATTGCCTACAACCAGTAAGTGATGTTTTAAGTTTTCTTCATTTGTGTGCGCATGCTCTCTCCTAAGCTCCAGTAGCTAAAATGAGAACTCTCAACTGCAACTAGTTGGTTTTTGTTTCATCATATGATAAAGTTGCTGTGTTTCGAACAGTTTCCATAACAATCTTATTCTGTTTCCCATTTTCCAGTGACGTCCATGCGCCGAGGAACAACTTATCATGCCCAGTTTCCCCTATTGGGAGCCCTCTTCTGTATCCAAGATCACCACAACAACATACGAGTGGAAGGATGTCTCCATCTCCTATATCCAGCCCTCTTACCGCCTCAGGTTCATCCACACCCCTTACAGGTGGCGCCGTCCCATTTCATCATCAGTCATGGCAGCCGGCATCTTACATCCATGAAACTCCAAGGTCTCAAACTGGCTTCTACACCGGTAGTAGCAGTATTACTCCCTATCAGGAACCATCCAACAACCACCCTGATAAGTTCCGAGGTTTGTCTCAAACCTCCCACATGTTCCAGGACATGATTTCAGTAGATAATAATGGTGGGGTTGGGCACCATTTTGGACGATTTGGTCAACACCAGGACCTTGGTGAAGGTCTTCCAACTTCACAGCCTGTGTTGGCTGACCGCGTTTCTCAGCAACTGCTAAGGGATAGTGTTCGGTTAAAGCCATCCCTTGATCTGAATCCTGGCTTCACAATGCATCATCATAGGCATTCCTGAGTAGCAATTTGCAGAGTTTTTATGCTTCTCTTGAGGCTAGAAAATTTCAGAGGCTACAAAGAGCCGGGCAAGGATTTTTAGAACAGGCATTTTGCAGAAGAATCCACTAATTACTTTCAACCCATAACAAAGCGATGTGGAAATTCGAACAACTGATAGATGAGAAACAAATTTGCTTACTGAGACCTGACATGTTAGCAGCAGCTCAGATATTATTCGTAGGCAACTGTAAATCTTATAATACACTCTTGAAGAATACAGTAGTCTAGAAAAGTTCCTGTCTGAACATGTTGTACTCTTCAATTTGTAACTGTAACCATATCTGGTTGGAAGAAGTACAGCTGCCTCAGTTGAAAGAAAAGAGGCCTGTATATAGAGTTGCTCTGAATTGGGGATATATTATTCATGTCCTTGCCTGATAGATCAAGCTCAAGCTAAATTCCCAAAGCTTCTTAGCCAGTTTCATGTCTTTCCCTAGGGAGTTGGGTTCGGTGAAATTACAGTCCATGAAGTGTTTACCAGTAACACCTTGAGGGTGCAGCTCCAGAAAACAGCTTGTAGCAGCTCCCTGTAAAAAAACAAGTTAAAGAGTTGAAGCCAATGGTTCAGTAAACAGGGTTTAGCTACTGGAGTTGAAGAATGATGGACCTGTTCAGCATTCTTCAGTGCAAATTTAACAAACACGTATGCAAGCCCTGCAAAAAACTGGGACTCTCATTAGGGTTCTGCAGAAATTATTACACAACTTTTTTTAATGAAATTACCGTTCACTACACTGATGTCGCACAAGGTTGGTAACAATAGATCCAGGTTGAAGTGAATAAACAGTGATATTCACGCCATCTTCCTACAGTAACAAATAGAAAGTGTTAAGAATTTCTCACCATCCGCAACATGTAGTTCAAGATTCTGTACCTTGAGACGCCTTGCTAGCTCCTTCGCTTGCAGTATATTTGCAAGCTTCGACTGTCCATAAGCACGCATCCCAAAGTATCTACAAAATCATAAGAGGGGCAACGTAGTAAGAGGCTGACAAAAACCGAATCCGAATAAAAACAAACATCAGCTACTCAGATTCATCGTTAATTTTGTCAAATTGAATTCCTCCGTTGTACATGAAGATATGAGCAAGTGATCTTAGGATGACAATCCTTCCCTCCTTATTGCTTGCATGTGTCGTCTTTTTCATAGTCCCTAGCAACAAGTTAGTCAGTAGGAAATGGCCTGCACAGAAAACAGTAGTTTTAGACGCATTGACAAACTCAAGAGTATATTCTTGGTACTGGTCAGAAGCACAAGTACCCAAATGGTTTATGGTAAATTGGAGCTCAACATTGTCTTCAGAAATTGAGAAAGGACATGCCATAATGCCTGCATTGTAGCTTCAGCGACAAGTAACCCAAAAAGGAGTAAGAAAAAATGAACTCACAGTCGCCGTGACCAATAATAATCAGAGTTTCTGAACTACTAAAGATCAGTTGTCCTGCCTACATGAGAATGAGCAGTGGAAGCCCGGTGGAGACGTATTCAGAGGATAATTTTCGAACCGATGCCAACGAGCTGAGATCTAACTTCATGACGTCAAGCTCAGTAGTCCTGCCTACATGGCCTGCACCGAAATTCAGATGCAAATTTTTTATGAAGCTAGAAGCTGGTTATGAAGCTAGACGTTCAATAACCAGATGCAAATTTGAGATCTAACTTCATGAACGTCTAGCTTCATAACCAGCGTCGACATTCCTTACAGCCATCACGACTTGAACACCTCGCAGGGCAAGAACTCGGGTCGTCTTCAGCCCAAGGCCACATGATGCTCCTGCATTTTAAACACCAACTTTTCAAACTGATGATTCAGATCAAAGATTCAATCTTTTCCTACTTTCTAAAAGCAAGTTCGAACCAAGATGAAGAAAAACAAACCTGTAACGATAGCAGTGAGGCCAGTGCCATTGATTCCGGTCGTAACAGGGGATTCACCTGTCCTCCCGAAAACCCACATTCTCACTCTCTGAGTTTCAGGGCTCCCCTACCAGGCTACCACAACTTAATATAACCTCTGTTCTCGCCATAGTTTTGTATTGGTTGTTGCATTCCAGAGAGATTCCATTAGTTCAGGGTATCATCTTCGCCGTAGTTTTGTATTGGTTGTTGTAATGATAAGTTCAAGGGTGTTTAGTCGATGGTCCCATGAGGATTCATTTCTGCCATGGATTCTTTTCTTACTTGGGACCTAGCTTTCGTCTGTTGTTTAAATCAGGATCAGTAGCTGCATTTGTATACACTATACAACCGAAGGCAGATTCCTTTCACAGAACCAACCTTCTAATATAGCATCCAGCTCCGAGAAAGTAGAACTTTTGCTATTATTAATCAGGCAAGAAGCTTCCTTCTCCTTCCCTTTCAGGCTTCAGCACAGCACTTCAGTCTTACCAAGCACACAAGGGCATTTCATCAAACACCTTCAGGACGTGGAGTTAGAACTTAATTAATCGAACCAACAACAGGAGAATGGAAGGTGATTGCAGCACCAAATTTGTACAGTTTCTTGTTGATAGTTCAAATGTTACAGGGTCTCTCGTGATTTCTTCCATAACAGGATAAAGGAACCATCTTTCGACAGCAAATAACTGCTACATTTCCAACGCAAACTGGGAAACTAACAGAAAGTTGAAAAAGGGATACATCTCTACTACTGATCCATTAGACTGTGGAGTTTTAGGTCAAGGGCTTTGGATTTGGAAGGTGGGGAAGTGTTGTGGGTGGCAATCGCAGCACTGGCTCCTCCGTCTCGATGGGGTCAGATCGGAGAATCTTCACACCATAATCGCCAATTTTCAAACAACAGAAACCCAGAAATCAACCATTTGTCTTGGAAGTTGGAATCGAATTGAATAGGAAAAAAAAAAGGAAGAGACAGAAGCGTTACTGGGTCTTGCAGAGGAGGCTTGGTGTCGTCTTGGGCAGGCCTGAAAGGAGGCTTGGTGTTGCTGTACAGCTTGTTGCTGGCTCCGACCACCGGCGATGGAGATGACGAGCTGCCGCCCCCTTTCATGATTTCTGGTACGGCTTCTGGTCGGTTCCGGTGGAGGGGTAGTCGCAAGTTTGTAGCGAAAAGTTATTAGTTTGGGTAATGTTTATTTTTTTATTTAATTTTTTTCAGATTTTTTTATATTTGATTTACCAATCAGATACTGATTTAGCAATTTTTTCAGATTTTTCAGATTTTTTCAGATATTTAGTATTAGTCAAATATTAACTTTTTTTTTAGTGATATTGACTTAGCAACATGATACTGAATTGGAAGAGATTCATGGAGGTCAACATTCCAAAATTTTAGTATTTTAACTAAGAAAAGAGTTACAAAATTATTATCGATAACATAAAAATGACTAATATTTTAATGCATCATGAAAGATTTGGATAACTAATAGAATTTTAATAGATTTGGATAATATAAAAGAATCTGAAAAAAGTTTGGATAAAAAATAGACATTATCTTATTAATTTGAGTATTTTACCCACCCTTTCTAAAACCGCACCATACCCGTGGCCGATGGGAAAATCTACACAATAAATAAAAGTCAAATGAGAAAACTTGAAGCTCCATTTCAAATTTCCTGCATCCAGAGTGAAAGTAGGAAGGACATTTTGGTCTTAACAATTACTTTTTTTTATTCATTAAAAAGACACTTACTAGGATTCGAACCATGGTCACTTTAAAGAAAAGCAAAGATCATAACCAATCACACTAAGTACATTTGTTGTATCTTCTTAAATTCAGAACATATAATCGCAGAGAGGAAAAAACTCTTTCCCCATTTCAAATTCCCTGCTCCATGAGCGTTTGTAGGAAGGGTAGAATAGAGCGTGTCAATTTTTTTTCTTTTTCCTCTGTGGAACGGGCCAACTTACCATACACATGCGGATTTAAACGGGTCGAGGAGTGTCAATTTTTTTCTTTAAGTCCTTTTATTTATCCGTGGTGGTAAAATATATATGTAAAGGCAAAAACAATACTCCTTTTTATTGCTAAAAAGAAAAAAATTAACAATAAACTAATGCATGGATTTTAATGGGCTAACCGCGCGCTAATCATAAAATAAAAGAGTTGAATGGGCCTGACCTACACGGGATTTGCCCATCAAGTAAAACAAATGAACATCATGGGTTTTCAATTCTAAAACAAGCTATTTTCTCTAGCATAATATATATTATGCTATTATTTTATATCTTAGTGGCTAAAATATAATGTATTTTGAAGTTATTCAATGGTTCAACCTCGAACAACCCAATTAGATAGTTCAATTTTTATCATTTCAAATATATATTATGTAATTATTTGATATCATAATGATTAAATTATAGTGTATATTATAGGGAATCGTTTGGTATTTGTTAGTAAAAAACTAAACAGAAAGATCTATTTGGTTGTTTTTAACATTAAAACGATCCTAAACATTTTCAGTTTCCTTTCGAAATTCTATAGTTTTATTCCCGAATCAATGATGTGCAAATAGGGAATTGCAGTCATCTCTTTTCTTTCATTATTTTTTATTTTCAAATAGAAAGTTTAAAGGTAAAGAATCATTAGAGTTTGGCATGGGTCGGTCAAACATGCTGAATTTCAAGTTTTGGCCCGTTTTGATCAAGTCTAATTTATAATCACATGGTTTCCTGATACCCGATAAAAATCTCAATCCAAACCAATTTGGCAGGTGAGTCCGTGTTTACCACCATTTTCTAGGGATACAGGAACGGTGGTTCCTATCCCAAATCGTGTTGTTCATTCTTGATTTCTTTCGATTTTATCATGGCTTGGCAAAAAACCAGAAAGTACAATGATGACAAGATGAAAGTTTTATAACGCAAATTAATCGCCCAACGGGCCGAGTAAAAGCTAGCAACGATTGTGAGATGCTCATTTCTCGAAAACCGGTGGGATAGGCGATTTTTTATTCAATTTTCTGGAATTCGGTTTCTATAAAACTTACTCCACCTCATCATATTACCAGAAACAATATTGTTTCACAAGGTAATAGGTACTTGATTTTGGTTCATAAGACTGATTTTTGATTCGTTGCATCATTCATGTCTCTTTCTTACGAAAATTCACTATTTTTATCACGTGTTTCTTAAAAAAAACTATACAACAATAAGCTATACACTCTCTTACATTATCAAATTTTATACCTCACTTTCCTCAGGCCAAATGGCCGGGGTCCCACTAGTTTATTGTGGAGATGTAAATCTGTAGGCTGTTTTTAATTCTATGAATGGTTGTATTAGGATTAAATTATAAGTTTAGTATAAAGTATTGTATTGTTGATTTTTTTATAAAATCTCTAGTATCGTATTACAAATCTTGATTTTATCCTTTTCGCCCCTAAAATATGCAATTTTTCAGAACAACTTTTTTTGGGCCATAATTCGAATAACCTTGGTTTTGTTAACCTTTTTTTAGTGAAAATGTTATTTGCTTTCACCTTAGTGAACACCTCTAATTAATGAAGATGTAGTATATCATTGATAAATATATTCAGATTATTTATAATGAATACCTCTAATAATTCTTTTATAAATGTTGACAGTGATAACATAAGTTGATAATAATTGTCGTATTACCGTTAATAACACGATTATAAGAAATTTATGATTGTATATGACTAATAATATCTAACATAAGAGTTGATAATAATATGATAATTGATAATAACTGAGATACAAATGTTAATAATGGGTAGCATTTAGCACCATTGATTGGCCTTTTGAAAAGTGCTAAAAATCCGACACCGTTAAAAAATTATAGAAATTTTGCTCCATTAAAACAAATTAAAATTCTTTATTATTTTAAAATATAACACTAATCTCCTAATCCAACTTAACTACTTATTAATCACTAACTACCAATGAATTACATAGATTAATATAAAAATGAGGAATGACTTAATCAAATAAACCTAACAAAATATGGCAGCGGCAAAGGATACAAATAGCCCCGACGGCGGCGGAGGTGGAGGGTGGCGCTTATTGCCGGAAGAATTACTCACCAAGGTTCTCAACAGGCTGCCCTTAACTCGCTGCCTCTTCCAATTCCGCTGCGTCAGCAAATCGTGGCACCGTCTCCTCTCCGACATTCCCAATTTCATCAGCCGCCGCATCCTCTTCAACGAAGATGACGAGAACGCTCGTATCTTGGTCGCCCGCATCGCCGACAAGGATGATCCGTCTGTACGGTACACCGCCCTCTGCCCCGACACGCTCCGGCCCGTCTCGACTTATTCCGGCGCCTCATTCTCCTCTCCAACCATCGCCGGCTGCCGGAACGGGGTATTCTGCATCCACGACAATCCCGGCTTCCCCTGCCCCACCGAAACCCTAATCGCGCTCTGGAATCCCACCACTTCCGAATCCAAGTTCGCGCCCTTACTCCCGACTCCTCCGCGATCCAATTGCGCGACGATTGGGTTCGGATTCGATTCCCATTCAAACGATTATAAAGTCCTTGTTATGTTTTCCGATTCCAGAAGAGAAGAAAACAGAGGAGGGAGCATCACTGCCTGGGTGTACAGCCTTAGGAAGAATTCATGGACGCAAGTCGAAACTCACGGCGTCAATCGCCCAATCTATGGCCTCTGTTCTGGGTTCCACCACTGGCATAGTAGTAGCTCGAGATCCGAGAAAATCTATATCTGGCAGGATAACATCGGTGGCGAGGCATTCAAACCTGCAGATTACTATGCTACTGTGGTTTCCTTTGACTTGAGCAAACAAGTGTTCGAGACGGTTTACCTGCGCTTGCCTCGTCCTACGTATGTGGCTGGCAGTGGACATTACATTGTTCGTTCGATGTCCATGGTGGAAGAGTGTTTGATCGTTGTTTTGTCTATCAGCAAACGTCTTGAAGAGAAAGTGGACTACGAGGTGTGGATGGTGTTGGAGCCATGGCTTGAGCTTGAGCCTGGATGCCATCACTGGGTTAAGTTGTTGGTCGTTTCGGTTGATCGTTTCAGTTGTCTTGGCATTGCCGGGTTTTGGAAACATGGGAAATGCTTTGTGGTGGATTGTGATGGGAGGTTGTGCCTTCTTGATATGGAAACGGGATGTATCATCGATCAACTGGAAGTTGAAGGTAAAGGGTCTATTAAGCAAGAAGTTATGACTTATGTTCCATCCATGGTTTCATTGTCTTCTTGATACTTATACCTGTCCAAGCCTAAACGTATCTATATGTTCATCCACTCGTCCAAGTTCCAAGGTACTCCCCTGCAAGTTTAGCTTTACAATTTAGTCTGGATAGATGGTAACTTTGGAATCAACCTCAATGGACTATGATGCAACTAGTTCATGTTTCTTCTGTTGGTTTTCATATGATGATAGAAATTGTTTCTTTTTCTTTTGTTCTCTCAAAAGTATTATCACCGAATGTGTTTCAACTCAGGTTATCATCAAGTTCAAGTTGCATGAAACTCTTCTTGTTATAGTCGATTAAGATTAGTGTTTACTTTTTTCAACTCGAATTTTAGTCTAGATGATGATAATAATGGTTATTATTGACAAAGATACCTCAAAAGACTGGTATATCACGGGTAGACGATTCTTGACTTCGTTCAGTTGAAACACTCAATGTTCAACAAATGATTCTCAAAGTGTAGTTTTGACATTTATGTAAGGCTTTGCAGTTGTGTTGAATTATGCTTTTCTTTCTTTCTTGAGATATGATCGATTCTTTACAAAACACTAATTTATTTCCCTTCATCCATCTTTCACTTCTTTTCTTTTATTAATACTAGAATCAATACCCGCGGCGTACTAGTTTATGGTGGGCAATTTAGGTAACACCAAGCTGGGATTCGTTGTGCTACTGGCAATGGTGTGAGTTTAAAAGTCTGCAAGTGTTATCAAGAGACTTATGTATCATGAGTTTCATAGTAAGTCAAACATGGTGCTTCTGTCAACATACCTGTTACTACCTGTTACTAGGGGTGGGATTCGGTCGGTAAACGGTAAATTGTTTATCGAATTCACCGGTTTCGGTATACCGAAGTTGGTCAAATTGGTTATCGATTACCGATACCGGTTTGTAACCGGTTTATCGATTACCGAATTACCGGTAAACGGTTACAAACCGGTATTACCGAAATACCGTGAGAAGCGATTTCGGTCGGTTTACCGAATATTTATCGAACCGAATTTCTGGAAGTGGGGTGATGTTGTAATATTTTGATTTTTTTGAGTTTTTTTCATCATTTTTGTAATTAATAATTTATTATTAACTCTTATTTACAATATTTTTGAGGCATATACTTACTTACATTCATGTATGTAATATTTTATATTTGTGAATAATGATGTATATGTTATATGTTAGTGGAGTAGGGAGGGGGGATTTCAGTATCGGTATTACCGATTTACTGTCGGTATTTACCGATATCGTGTCCGGTAAACCGACTCCCCCAACTTCCCGCTCGGCTGCCGATACCGCCGGTATACGGTTTACCGGATTACCGTTTCCCACCCCTACCTGTTACCCAATGTACATAAAGCAGGTAAGAGGGGAAAAGGAGGAAAAGGCATGCATAATACTTGGCCAGGCCTCCCCTATTGTTTCTTCAACTTTCCCTGTGCTTCTCTATCACTACCAATCAGCAATTTTCCTTCCAACTTAGCATCAGATCACTTGGGGGTGGAGACTCTGTCTTCAAAATTTTGTCCTATTTCTTTCCTTCCAAACCACTCAACAGATTGCATGAAACAAGACATTTGAACACACTCTTTGGGGGGTGGCAGTTTGTTGGTGGGGCCAACCTCTGATTGCTGTTTGCAAGTCACTTGAATGGTCTCCATCAGAAAGATTTAGTGTTTACTAAAAAAAATGTTAGCTTCTTGACAATTGGACTGATAATTAACTGGAAGATTGAACTGAAATGCAAAAAGATATTAACTTAATTCTTCAGGCTGAGCGGCTTGACTACTCGCTCCTTACTGAGCCAACAACGAAAGACAGACAGGAAAGCCACCTCCACAGCTATAACATGTTTGAGATGTGGAGTGAGAGAAGCGAGAGGGGCTGCATCATATTGCTGGCTCAGGCATGGGAATTCCATAAACCTAGAAGAACAAAATGATAGTCAATGGCAGTATAGATACAAATAATTGATATGTAGTTTTCCCCCTACAAAATATACAATAACATAGCTACTTTGAACATTCTATAATTAGTATCGGCAAGCATAATCCTAGGTTAGTGTAATTTTAATGAAAATCCTAATAATTAGGTCGTTCAATACTTTTTTTATCACTAAATGAGTCTTTTGTCATTCATGAAAACAGACTGTGATTGTCTATGACTTGGACAAAGGCGACCTAGAGTTGAGATCTGGTAGCCTTTTCAGATGGTGATGAACATGTGTAAGTTCAGATAAATAATGAGGAACAAATGGAGAAACAAACATGTGTTTCATGATTCAGCAGGGCAAAGTCTTCCGTGAATCCTCCTGTGTAACAATAAATGTGCCATCTCTGTCATTCCTTAAAATCTGATAGTAAATCTTAAAGCATAACTACTATGCCAAGACACCTCTACGACGGAGTTTGCATTAGCAAAGTATAATTAAGTCGAGGCCATGCCCACATGTATGCTGTAGGATAAATAATACATACCCAACTAAGACAGGTGACTGGAGCCTGGCACATACTCCGGCAGTGGTAGAACTTTCTGAAGGCTTAATAGGTGTTGACGGTGTATTTGTAGCTGAAAGCACGACATTGAAGGTTCTTCTCACTGAAGCACCAACGAATTTGGTATATTAATTACAATAAGACACATAAATTTTGTGATATGGAGATCGAATAGATTGGTAAATATATAGGATGTGATAGTCTGACTCGGTTGAATAAAATGACTTTTATCTATGGTACACAATATCATTTGTACTTCCATTCAAGAGACAACACAACAAAAATGCAACGGCAGAAAGCAAGGAAGGTTCTTTCCGCTGGTTCTTTGTCTCTAATAACTTCCTACAGGGTTACTAATTACCAAGTGTTAAGCATGCATGAAAATTTGAAAAAATGCACTGCATAGTTGATTTAAACGCCAAGTACCATGATAGAGGAAGCATGAAAGGTTGAACCAATCTCATGTATAGGGTCTGCATTGGTCGCATAACACTGAAAATTGGACTGATGAAGCAATACTGGAACACTGAAATGTGGACTTGTGAAGCATTTTTGGACTATCAAAGAATCTTTTTAAAATCCATTGAAATGTAGGTGTCCAACAGGAGTTCTTTGGAACTCAATAAACTTGAAAAGATCTCCTCCATCTGTAGGCGTTAAATCTAAGTTAGAACCAAGAAAGCATCGAAGTCAAGAACATAACTCAAGCATTGGAGTAAACAGAAAGACCGCACTCTCAAATTATAATCAATGGTTTGTTGGACTTAACTAACGTGTTGAGTAAGATTGAAGGCAATTAACAACCATGTATAATTGCAAGTAAACCTTGTTTCCATGATATAATGTTATGCACAAAGGCCAGTGGTCAGTACACTATTCTATTTCAAATGGCTAGGTACAGTAAATCAAGCATAGAATTCTTCATATTATATTATCTGACATAAGACGTTGGCATCAGAGAGCAGTGAGGTGGTCAAAGACCAAACCAAATTTAAACCAATGAAGCAACAAATAGAATTCAAGAAAAATTGCTACCCACTTGGTTTGAAACAAAACCTAGAAAGAAGCAATTACAAACATAACCCGTAACAAAGAGTAAAGTTGCTTGTATCCATCCACAATCTCAAAGTCAGAGGATATCACTTACCATTGCTTATCTGTGATTCCAACAAAAGTCAGGACAACATTGCCTATCCTCCTACCTCGCAGCTTTTGCACCGCTAATTAGTGTTTGCATGAAATTCACATGAAAACAACATATTCAGATTCAACCACCCCAAACCAAAAACCAAAAATACTCTTTTATGACCCCGAATTAGCTCTAGTATAAGCATAACAACCCATAAAACAACAACAATCAGGTTTAGGAATGATAAAAAAGCAGCAGCTCTTTCATAGTTGCACCAATCATGCAAATAATAAACCACAATTCGTGCGCAGCCAAAGACAAAGCCTAGCGTTTTTTACACTGGTTGTGTACAAAAACATCTACGAAGACGATTTGGTTCAGCAAATACGGGAATCAGCATAAGTGTAAGGGAAAGGACGGAAGACCAACCTGCTTAAGTCCCAGCTCTCGAAGCTAATGCCTGTAGTTCCTCGAATTGGCGTAACTCAAAGCTATCCAGAAAAGAAAAGAAAAAATTGACTCGTCCTCAGAGGAGGGGATGAAAGAAGTGTTCTACGTAAAGTTGAGGATGCGGTTCCTATAGCAGGACGCACAACTCTTCTTCCATTCACGTTGGGAAAAGAGTGTGATGAAGGAAACCTTTCCAACAATAAGAACTTCATTAAGTTGGTCCGACAGTTGCCTGGGCGCCACTCCCTGCACCAGCACCCTCTAGAAAAGGAAGGACAAAACGAAATTAGAAAAAGGACTATTTGTATCTCCGACCAGGTATCGATGAACTTGAGGGCGACGACTTCCCCACAGACCTGAAATTGCTCCTGGCATTCAGCATGGCTGGGCCGGTGACATTCGGGTCGTAAGTGTCGACTGTGTTGTGCAGCGGAATCGAAGCGTCGGGCATGGCAGGTGGTGTCCTTGATTTCCTGCAGCGAGCGACGCCGCACCTCGAATTCTTGAGCATTGTTCCACCGAGAGCTAAGCGGAACTCTGCAGTCTGCGGGAAAGTGGTGATGGGCCGCCGCCATAAGGAAAGACATTAGAGATCGAAAATCACAAACGGAAAGAGCGGAAAATTCAGAAAAGAAAAAGTACCTAGAGGAGAAGAGGAATCTGGATATGGGTTTGTAGAAGAAGATGAAATGCAGGCAGGGTGAGAGTTCTTCTTCGTGCGGTTTTTTTTTCTTCTTCTCCTACTTCGAGAGGCAGAGAGAGCTGGGAGGTTTTCTGTTCTCTTCCTCTTCCTCCTTCCTTCCTCTTCTTCTTGCCGATCTAGAAAAAGCATGGGAGGTGAACTGTTTGAGTTTGCAGAAATCGCTATATTGAGAAGCAAACCGGAGTGGTGAAAGGATGGGAGATGATTGAATGGGTGGCGTGCGATGCAAATGGAGTTTGGGCTGAGTTTGTGAGAGGACGGGGGATACAGAAAAGCATGACGATATCAGAGGTAGGAAAGGTACGACCAGTGTAGCGTGGACTGTGGAGTATGGGCGGTGACCTGCGCTTGCTGGACTGAGGGTAAGACTGAGAGGGATAGGAGTACGGCTACTCAAAGCGGGGGAAGAAAGTGGCGTGCAAGGAGCTTCTCTACTTCTTGGGTGCTAGACGCCAAGAAGTGAAACAGTGTTTAGAGTCTTTGGGGGGGAAAAAACGTACCCATTTTTTATCTTTTAAAAAAATAAGATTATTTTAAATATTTATTGCTTCATAGATATGTCGGAGTCAAAGATGAATTGTTACCTCAGAAATGAGTGCAGGAAACTCTATGATGTATCACCGTATGCTACAAAATCCTTAATGCAAAACTGACACAATGCTAAAAAATAACACTAATATTAACAATTAATAATGGTAAATACTGACGATTGAGGATTCGTCATATGAGGAAAGGTCAAACTTTTGCTTTGTGGATATAATAATAATAAACAAAACCCTTTTGCCTGCATATCAAAACAGAAAAAATGAAAACAGAGGAAGCTGGCGGGAGGAATTGATTGGGCCGCCGATCTTTGTCTATAAATCGTCTTCCTCATTTCCTCAGTCTCTCAAGTTTACTCATCTGTTATCAATCGTTCATTCACAGCTAACCCCGTCATCTAGCACGATCGGATTCCTTTTTCGCTCTCTTTTCTTGCTCCAGAGCATTTAAGCAAGGAAAAAACCTGACCTGCAGTCACCTTTGCTGCTAATAAGAAAAGGAAGAGGAAGCTAAAGACCACAAAAGACCCAAAAAATGTGGATTTTGGGGTGGAAAGGGCAATCTGGTTTCTCAGCTCGCTCCACTGCTGAAGAAGTTACCGAAGGAATTGATGCCGCTGGCCTCACCGCCATTGTTACAGGTTTCTGCTTCATTCCTTCTCTCTCTCTCTCTCTCTCTCCTAGGTTTTTTTCTTCTACTTCACCTCTGTTTGGTTATAGAGATAACCAATAATGGAAAATTGGGAAACTGGGTTTCTTACTACTGATCGAGCAGTAACTACATTCGCCCCCTGTTTCAGCTTTCTACTCTGTCTACCACCTTTTTTTTTGTGGGCTTACTGATTCGGAAAAGGAAACCCCCTTTTTGGATTTTGCAGGAGCTACAAGTGGAATTGGAGTGGACACAACAAGGGTTTTGGCTCTGCGGGGCGCCCATGTGGTTATGGCGGTGAGAAACGTGGAAGCTGGCAAGAAACTCAAAGAGTCCATCCTAAAAGAAATCCCTAGTGCCAAGATAGATGTTATGCAGCTGGAGCTCAGTTCCATGGCTTCCGTCAGGAAGTTCGCCACTGAATACATCGATTCCTGCCTTTCCCTCAACATCCTCATGTAAGAATTAGTCAATAAAAAGCAAAAGATGCATCGAGTTATCGAGATGAGGGGTTTTTTTTCGATGATGATGCTAATGAATTTCTTATGCTGCAGTAACAATGCAGGAATCATGGCACCACCTTTCTCGCTTTCTCCCGACGGCATAGAGTTGCAGTTTGCTACCAACCATGTTGGTAATTAGCTGCTTCCTTACTTTCCAAGTGGAATGTAGTATTAGTTTTATGTTTATGACTCGAAAGGAATGGAATTTGTTCAACTCTTTTAGCCCATGTGCAGGACATTTTCTGTTGACCCATCTGTTGCTGGACACAATGAAGAAGACGGCTCGTGAGAGCAATCGCGAAGGGAGGATCGTGATTGTTTCGTCAGATGGCCATAAATTCGCATACAGTGAAGGCATTCGATTCGACAAGATCAACAACGAAGCAGAGTGAGTAAATTTTGTATACCACTTTTTCTACCCAAATTCTGTGGATTAAGTTGGTCAAAATCAAATGTTGTGCAGATACAACTGCTACCGGGCTTATGGACAGTCCAAGGTAGCTAACATCCTCCACGCCAAGGAGCTCGCTAGGCGCCTTAAGGTAACTAAGCTCATGGAAAACATGCTGACCCCTAGAAATGGCGTTAGCGATAATGCTGAAAATGACATTCTTACTTACAAGTTACAACTGAAGGACATATGTGTTTCCTTGATGTGATGTGCAGGAAGAAGGGGCGAACATAACTGCTAATTCACTTCATCCTGGTGAGATCGCTACTAATCTTGGACGCAACAATGGCCTTCTTAATGGTAATAATACATGCTCATCAATGTCTGGACTCCATCAAACATTCCATACTGTGGTGTTGTTGGTTTCTTATGCTAGTGTTCCTGTTATTTGCAGCCATCTCCAACAGCTTTATCAAGTACCTCCTCAAAACTTCAAGCCAGGTACTATACAGAATCCACACACAATGACATCCTGCTTTACTTGATCGGTTGTGAAGCCATAGTTTCTTTCTTGGACGAGGGTTAAATCGTGGCTTCTTTCTTGGACGAGGGGTAAATTATTAGACTTAACAGAACAATGTATCTTTAATGATTAAATACAGGGAGCTGCAACTCAAATATACGTGGCTCTGCATCCACAAGTGAAAGGGGTATCAGGGGAATTCTTCAAGAACAGCAACATATCTGAAACTGGAACTGCTCCTGCTCAAGATGAAGAGTTGGCTAAACAGCTCTGGGATTTCAGCATGAAGTTGATAAATACCTAGTGGATCAATTATTTTGATTATCATCGTTGTTGTCATCATTGTCGTTTGTCCGAGTTAAAGCATTTTAGTTGGTGTGTCAGATTTCGTGCTCTGCCGAAGAGGGAAAAATGAATGTAAGGTGGTTTGATTTGTTTAGGGTGTTGTGAAAGATAATGTAACAAAAGGCTTAGCTTGCAATTTTTCAGCTATAAGAGTTTTCATTTATGATTACTACAGTTCTTTTCGTCTTCGAATAAATTACGCCAAATGATAGGGGGGAAAACAGACAAAATCTGGGGGGGAAATCAACATAAATCAGCTTCTGTAAGGCATGGGAAGTAAACACTTCAGCAAAAAGGGTGGACCAAATCTAAGCTGAAATCCCAGAGTTTCTTAGCCAGTTCATCATCCTTGCCCTGAGGGCTTGGTTTGTATAAGTTACTGTCGCACAAGTATTCACCCGTCACCCCCTTCATTTGTGGATGCAGTGCCGCATAGCATGTAGTTGCAGCTCCCTGCGAGGACGAAGAAGAAAAAACCATGATCAACATTTTGATCTAGTTTCAACACAAAAACACCAGCCTATCATATGATAATCAAAGAGAGAAATGCTTACCTGTGGAAGATTTTTTAGCACATATTTACCGGCGAGATTTGTAATGGCTGTTCAAAAGGAAAAGAAGGGAACCAAGGCAGACCATACATAGTGGATTAATGGTCAATTAACTTAGAGAAAGCTAAGACAAGATTCGTGGATTACCCCCAATAACACCGAGATTGCGAAAGAAGTTTGTAGCAACGGCTCCAGGGTGAAGTGAGTTCGCTGTTATGTTGATTCCTTCCTCCTGCTTGAATGGAGAACACAGGAAAGAGAAGGCAACAAGGATTAAGAAATCGACCTAATGTTGGAATGCCTTAACTTGATGATTATCAGTGAAGAAGTAAGAGTATGGACTCATTGTAAAAGTTCCATGATTTATGGAACTACACATTATCAAAGCTAAACGGTGGAAATGGTTGGAAACTTTGAAGTACCTTAAGGCGCCTCGCAAGCTCATTAGCATGAAGAATGTTAGCAAGCTTTGACTGCCCATAAGCGAGAAATTTGTTGTACCTAAAAATTACCAAGCAGAAGGTAAAGAATCCAAGGACACGTGGTGAGATCAAGGAGAACAGCCTCTTTTGTTTGTTACAGAAGAATCACTTACTCTGCTTCGTTGTTGATCTTGTCGAAACGAATCCCTTCCTTGTAAAGAAACCGATGACCTTCTGATGATAGATTCACAATCCTTCCTTCCTGATTACTTTCACGAGCAGTAGATTTCATTCTTTCCAACAGAAGATGTGTCAACAGAAAATGTCCTGGGGAACACTTGAACCATATTCCTTTGAGTCGGTTGTCCACTTTGCATAGATAATCCAACTGCACAACGAACTAGTTTTTTACAACTTACCAACATGGTTGGTGGCGAACTGCATCTCTATGTTGTCAGTGGAGAGCATGTAAGGGCACATCAAGCCTGCATTGTTACTGCAATCAAACCAAAGAAAAAAATGATCACACTCAACCTCTGGCATTCCTTTCATGTAGCAATAAGGTTGGTCATGTAAATATTATAGGAACACAAGTTTCTTTACATCAACAGATTCAGTGGAAGGCCTGAAGAAACGTATTCCGACGCGAATCTCTTCACTGATGCCAATGAACTGAGATCCAAGTGCATAACGTCAAGCTTAGCCGTAGGGATTTCTTTGAGGATTGCTTCTTTAACACTTTTCCCAGCATCAACATTTCTTACTGCCATGAACACATGAGCACCGCGCATAGCTAGGACTCTTGCAGTCTCCACCCCAATTCCATTTGATGCTCCTGAATAAAACATTCAGGAATTGATGCCCCTACATTTCTACTCTCAAACCCTAGGCAATCAAACAAACTGGATTCAATCCCCTCATCCTACAAACAACTCATGGAAATCAGTTGATACCCAGAGATTCAATCATCAACCTAAACAATCCTAATGCATGTTTTATGATATAACATAACTTCTCTGTCCATGTTGGGGCTTGATTCAGTAACTGAAGCAACGGTCAATCCACCATCAATTTCTTATTTCCCAGCAACCAAAGAGAACCCAGAGAAAGCAAGTCAAAGTCAGATGAAAACAAGTCATGCTTGTTAAGATTGCAGTGACTGAAGTAAAGGTCAAGCTACCACAAATTTCTTTGCTTTCCCAGCAACCAAACAGAACCCAGAGAAAGCAAGTCAATACCTGTGACGATAGCAGTGAGGCCAGTTGCATCGATTCCGTCAGTAACTTCTTCAGCTGTGGAACGAGCTGAAAACCCAGATGCTCCCTTCCACCCAAAAATCCACATCTTCAGATCTTCTTCCTTCTTGGCAAACGAAAACAGGGGGATTGACAACAGTGACAGAAACTAAAAATGGGCAGGCGATGAAGGGATGAATCAGAAACCAACCTGAAATGACGCCCCGGGAAGATGATGGGTCGATGAAACTTACTTGTGATTTATTACAATAATATAGTATTTTCTGGAACTGCAGCGCCATTGTTAAAAGGTTTTGATGAGCTTTTGTCGGTGGAAATACGTTACTGTCACCAGAACTTTGATACAGATTCCATAAGGTCTCCAACTCGGCACGGCAAACCTGTCATTTCCGTGATGTTATTAGAACGGTTTATTTTACTGTTTTTTCTAATAACCAGAACGGTTGATTTTCTGTAGTCAAAACTGGTCTTCTCTTAAATTGCAAGACGATCAATTTCAGGGGAAGATGTTAGCAGGTTTTGGATTATTTTAATTTATAGGGATTTGAGGGTTTAATGAAGTTTTATGATTTTGGATGATTATTTGGGTTTGTTTTTTGAAGTCTAGTTATTTTTGTTAGGAAGTATAGATAGAGAGGATTTATCAATTAGAAAATTTTCATTAATTAATTACAGAACATAATTACTCAATCATATTCTCTCTCCTTTCCTTTGGTATTTTCCTTAAGCCGACCGGGCTCAACATATTGTCGTTATACACCTATTCATAACTAAATCTATGTTATTTATTCAGAAAATCCAAATCTAAGGGTGGATAATTAAAGACATTTTTATTTTTTCTTGTTTTGTTAATTGACTCATATCTTCTTCGCTTTAATTTGGATTTCAATTTTTTTGCACAGATGGAACGCATTCGTTGTGATCTACAAAATGAGATTCATATTCAATATTTTTTTAGGAAAAAAAAATTAACGCCTCTCGTTACCAACTGCATACCGTATGGTATTTTCTTCATTTTAAAGTCGTTTTTGAAATTTTTTGCACATAATGAAAGAGTTCATCGTGATTTATTGGACCTACAAATTTATGGGGTAAAAAAAATACAATTTCAAAAAATACCACACAATACCACCCTGGTACGGGGTGGTATCTTGTGGTACACAATGTTGAAAGTGGTAAATGACAATTAATATACTCCTACTATCATGTATTCAACCTTTATAATCTTGGTATGTTCATACCACCTTGGTACACTTTTCATATCATATGCTATGCTCTTATTTCAATATAAGTCAATATCATATGGTATAGACTGGTAAAAAATGGTTCAATTTTTTTGTTCAAAAAATATATCAACTGTGCAAAAAAAAAAGAGCACAATTAATCTGATCTAAGTGTGCAAAAAAAAATCAACTTAAAACTAGTGAGAAATCGTCCGTTAAAGATTAAAGGTTTTACAGGAAAGAGAAATGACACTGATGTGGCGGATTCTTATTGGATTATGCATAGTTATTGACCACAAGGTTATTGACCGGCCTAGTCGACGACTTCCTCTCTCTCTTCTTCTTATACAATTTTACTACTAAATCATCTAATCTAAATCTCCGTTCCCGAAATTCTCTTATTATCACAGTTATAGGAACCCTAGACGGTGACACCTAGATTTGCAATTATTGTATAGTATGATGAATAAACATCCCGTTTGGTTTTCTTGTTTCACAAACTCAAACCTATACTTAATCCTGTAAACCTCAACTGTCTGCAAAATTTCAATTGATCAGATAGTTTCGGGCGAGCTGGAGACGATTGACAACTGGCGAGGCAAGGATGGGTCGAATTTCGGTTAACTTTGTTCATTCTAAATTACCTTCAATTGAACACAATCCCCCTTACCTGCTATCAGATCAATAACAAAGTGCCCTAATGATAACAGTAGTGGTAGTAGGACATGTAGCTAGCAAGCCAAGAGCTTGAACAGAGAAAAAAATCTAGAACGGAAGAGCTAACCATTTATTCGCAGAGATAAATAACTCAAATGATAGAACCAGAAACAAGATCTGGAGAAAAGTGAACAAAAACATCTCCTTGTGTTCAGTATGCCAAACATGTATGGTAAGTTCTGTAAGAAAGAAAGTAGTGTACTAGGTTCAACCAAATATGACTAGAAAAGTAACATTTTTAGCAACAAGGGTTGACCAAATCCAAGCTGAAATCCCAAAGCTTCTTTGCCAATTCTTCATCCTTACCCTGAGGGTTTGGTTTGTATAAGTTACTGTCACAGAAGTATTCACCTGTGACCCCCTTCACCTGTGGATGCAGTGCCACATAGCATGTAGTTGCAGCTCCCTGCAAACAACCACGACGAGCAACATTTCGATTGAGTTTGGACACAAAAAAATCTCTGGCTATCATATAATTTTAATCAAAAAGATAAATGCTTACCTGTGGAACATTTTTTAGCACATATTTACCAACGACATTTGTAATAGCTGTACAAAAAGAAGGGCACTTGTTATGGAGGATTTATACTTGAATCCAAGGGAGACCATGATGGTCAAGTAACTTAGAGAAAGGCTAGACAAGATCTGTGGATTACCCTCAAGAAAACTGGAATGGCGAAGAAGGTTTGTAGCGATGGCTCCAGGGTGAAGTGAATTCGCAGTTATGTTGATTCCCTCTTCCTGTTGAATGGAGAAAACATGAACAAGAGAAGGCAACAAGAACTAAGAAAGGTAACTAATGTTGGAATGCAGAACTTGCTGATTAAGTAGTGAAGATGTACGAGTTTTGAGTCATTTTAAAAGTCGTGTGATTTATGAACTACGCATATTATCAAAGATGGAAATTGTAGGAAATTTAGGAGTACCTTGAGCCGCCTAGCAAGCTCATTAGCATGAAGAATGTTAGCCAGCTTTGACTGCCCATAAGCACGGATGTTATTGTACCTGAAAATTACCATACAGAAGGTAAAATTCAAGGACAAATGGCAAAAAACAAGCAGAACAGCCTCTTTTGTTTGTTAAAGAAGAATCATTTACTCTGCTTCATTGTTGATCTTGTCGAAACGAATCCCTTCCTTGTAAGCAAACCGATGACCTTCTGATGATAGATTAACAATTCTTCCTTCCTGGTTACTTTCACGAGCCGTGGATTTCATTGTTTCCAACAAAAGATGTGTCAACAGAAAATGTCCTGGCAAACACTTGAACCATATTCATTTCAGCTCCCCTTCTGAACTACATGTATAACCCAAAGGCACCAAGAACTAGTTCTCTAAAACTTACCGACATGGTTGGTAGCAAACTGCATCTCAATGTTGTCCGTGGAGAGCATGTAAGGGCACATCATAATGCCTGCATTGTTACTGCCATCAAATGAAGGGGAAAAATCATCACTCTCGTCCACTAGCATTTCCTTCATGTAGCAAAACAGTCATGTAACTGATATAGACAAACAAGTCACTTTACATCAACAGGTTCAGTGGAAGGCCTGAAGAAATGTATTCCGAAGCGAATTTCTTGACTGATGCCATGGAACTGAGATCCAGCTGCATAACATCAACCTTAGCAGTAGGGATTTCCTTGAGGATTGCTTCTTTAACACTCTTCCCAGTATCAACATTTCTTACTGCCATGACCACATGAGCACCGCGCATAGCAAGGACTCTTGCTGTCTCCACCCCAATTCCACTTGATGCTCCTGAAGAAAATTTCAGGAATCAATGCCCTCTATTTGCCCTACTTCTCTACTCTCAAGGCCCAGGCAATCAACCTGGAAAAAGACCCCTCGCGCTACGAACAACTGATGGAAATCAGTTGACGATGCATTCAAAAGACCCAGAGATTCATTCATCAACTAAGCAATCTTAGTGACAGTTATATGATGTAACAAAACGTCTGTGCCCATATTGGGGCTTTGATTCAGTGACTGAAGTAAAAGTCAACCTACCATCAATTTCATTTTTCCCAGCAACCAAACAAAAACCAGAGAAAGCAAGCCAAACACAGATGAAAGCAAGTCATAACTGTGACGATCGCAGCGACTTAAGTAAAAGGGCAAGCTACCATCAATTTCTTTGCTTTCCCAGCAACCAAACAGAACCCAGGAGAAAGCAAGTCAAACCCAGATGAAAGTAAGTCAATACCTGTGACGACAGCAGTGAGCCCAGTTGCATCGATTCCATTAGTAACTTGTTCAGCAGTTGAACGTGCTGAAAACCCAGATGCTCCTGTCCACCCAAAAATCCACATCTTCTTACTTCACGGCAAGCAAAACCCAGATGTTTGTGATTTTTGCTGCACAGATGGACTCTTCTTTCGCAGCTTTTTCTGGGTTTCTTGGCTAAGAGAAATGGAGACGATGATGACAAACGGAGGAATTAAAAACCCATATGGGATGGGTAAGCTTCCTAGTGAATTATTATAATAGTATCTTCTGGGATTGCTGTCGAGAAAGATTGATCAGGGCTTTTATTTGTCCTTACTTTTTTCGAACACAGTGCCTTGTTTTCGTGAAGCTTATTTTGTCGTTGCAAATACGTTACTGTCAGTAGTGTTTTGGATTTATATAAAACCTCTGCCATTTGTTGTGAGTTGTGACGTTCTTGTAATGGTTTATTTTCTCCTTTTCTTAAATAACTAAAACAGGTTTATTTCTATAATTAAGTTATTCGCTTGGCATTTCTAATATTTCAAGATTCTACATGGAAATCTTAGGGGAAGAGAAGAAAGATTATGTTTGTTAATTTTATAGGCCGCCCATTATTATCATTATTATTATTATTATTATTATTATTATTATTATTATTAGTTTATGAGTCGGTTTTAGATATTGTTTAGGAATCGTATTAATTAATTAAGTGTTTAAGGTAGTTTCTTTAGGATTAAGTTACCGAGTCCTTGTAGGATTAGTAAGTCATTAGGTTTTCCGGTTCTACTATAAATATGTACTTTGTTTCTACGTTTTAATCAATCAATGAAGAAGAAAACCCCTAATTTAGTTGTTTTAGTTTATTTATCGTTCTTGTGCTGCGATGCTTGATCCGTCAATGCATCATATAATCTACCGGATATGACTTGGTTTCGTACCCCATATAATAATTAAACACAACAATCAACAAGCAAACAAATTCCGATTTTAATTGCATTAGTAGAACATGTAAATAACAAAGGCAGAGCTTCAACAAAGGAACGAAAACAAAGATGAAAGAGCTTCATGAACTTCAACTGATAGAACCAGACAACATTGCCAACCTCAAATAGAACAGTAAAGCCATGGGGGGTAGATTCAACCAAATACGACCAGAAAGTAACATTTAGCAAAAAGGATTGATCAAATCCAAGCTGAAATCCCAAAGCTTCTTTGCCAATTCCTCATCTTTAGCCTGAGAGTTTGCTTTGTATACGTTACTGTCACTGAAGTATTCTCCAGTCACCCCCTTCACCTGTGGATGCAGTGCCACATAGCATGTAGTTGCAGCTCCCTGCAAACCCAGGATTAAAGCATGTCAGTATTGGATCGATTTTCGGCACAAACTATCGAGTTGCCCTTGGTAATCACTAGTCAGACAGAAGAACTGCTTACCTGCTGAACATTTTTCAGCACAAATCTGCTGACGGCATTTGTAATTGCTGTAAGAAGGGAAACATGGAACTTGTTAGGAGGGTTCGACCGTGAATGATGAATCCATGCCTACCAGTACGTGAGACCATAATATTTCATGTTAAAGAAAGCCAAGACAAGATCCATGGAGTACTGACTTGCAATAACACCAGTATGACGATAAAGGTTTGTTGCGATGACGCCAGGGTGAAGTGAGTTGGCAGTTATGTTGACTCCCTCTGCCTGTTTGAACAGAGATAACTGGAATTAGACATGGCAGCAAAAATTAAGGATCCCTCCTCATATTGGAATGATTAGTATCAGTGAAGATCTAAGAGTTTGACTCATTTATTAAGTTCTGTGATTTATGGACTTGGCATGTTACCAAGATAAATAGAGGAAATGATTGGAAAACTTTTCGATTACCTTAAAGCGCCTAGCAAGCTCATTAGCATGAAGAATATTAGCAAGTTTTGCCTGTCCATAAGCACGGATGTTGTTGTATCTGGAAATGAGCAAACAGAAGACAGAAATCAAGGAGCTGTTAAAGCAAGCAGAAGGAACTAATAAAGCAGTGAAGAAGAATCATTACTCTGCTTCGTTGTTAATCTTTTCGAAACGAATTCCTTCCTTGTTACACCAACGGTGACCTTCAGACGATACAATAACAATTCTTCCTTCTCGATTGCTCTCACGGGCAGTGTATTTCATTGTGTCCAACAAAAGATGTGTCAACAGAAAATGTCCTGGAAAATACTTGAACCATTCTCCTCAGTTTTCTCTTGCAGTTAGCATGTAATCAAAAGGCACAAAAGAACTAGTGTTCTGAACGAACTTACCAACATGGTTGGTAGCAAACTGCAACTCTATATTGTCCGCGGAGAGCATGTAAGGGCACATCATGATGCCTGCATTGTTACTGCCATCAAATCAAAGAATCATCACTCTCAGCCAATACCATTTCCGTCAGAGACACTTCCATGAAAAAATTCACAGTAAATCAAATTGATTGTGGGTCTCTTTACATCAGAAGGTTCAGTGGAAGGCCTGAAGAAACGTATTCCGAAGCAAATTTCTTGACTGATGCCATTGAATTGAGATCCAACTGCATGACATCAACCTTAGCTGTAGGGATTTCCTTGAGGATTGCTTCTTTGACACTCCTGCCAGCATCAACATTTCTTACTGCCATAACCACATGAGCACCTCGCATAGCAAGGACTCTTGCTGTCTCCACACCAATTCCACTTGATGATCCTGAACAAACATTGAGGAATCAATACCCTACATTTCTACTCTCAAACCCTAGGCAAGCAATCATAGTATCATCACTTCTCTCTGCTGACAAGACAATCAAAACTCCAGAGATTCATTCAAAATTTCAGGGGATTGATCATTCCAAATTCATCTATTCATCAAAACTCATAATGACTGTAGGAAAATAACAAAACGCCTGTAAACCCTAGTTGGGGTTTGATTCAGTGACTGAGGTAAGTAAAGGACTACTGATTGGGAGACTATTCAACATGAAGCTACAGTCAATTTAAATATCCTTTTTTCCCAACAAACAAACAGAACCCAGTAGAAAACAAGTCAAACCCAGATGAAAGTAAGTCAATACCTGTGACGATAGCAGTGAGCCCAGTTGCATCGACTCCATTAGTAACTGCCTCAGCCGTGGAACAAGCGGAAAACCCAGATGCTCCTTTCCAGCCCAAAATCCACATCTTCCTTCTCGGCAAAGCAAAAAAGAGAGCGATCAACAACAGTCACAGATACCAAAAAAACCTGCAATTGAGTATCAGTAGACAGGCGATGCTTCTGATCTCTGCTGCAGAGATGGGCTCTTCTTAAAAAGCTTCTCTTGGCTTGTTGGCTAAGAAAAATGGAGAAGGTGATGACAAACGGAAGAATCAGAAACCCATTTGAAATGACGCCCTGGGATGAAAGAAGATGGATGGACCGGTGAAGCTCTAATCTTGTTGTTGTGATTATTCTACTACTACTTTGGGTTGCAGCGAATTTGGTCATAGCTATTAATTATCCTTTTCTCTTTTCGCAGTGCCTCGCTGTGGTGACTGGTGACTGGTGAGCGTTCGTCGTTGCAAAAGATGATTAGACTGCTTCCCTTTGTTTTTGGCTACAAATTTGAAAATTGCTCCAATTCCTTGGTATGGAAAACATTCCATTTTAGAATACACAAAAACAAAAGGAAAAAATCCCATTTAGTGACGTTCTTAGTACGGTTACTCCTTTTTTTTTTTTTTATAACTACAACGTTTATTTTTAGAGATAATTTTGTTGAATAATGAGTTGTGAGAAATGTCTTTTTTGAATAATATGTTGAAAGAGTTTGTTTGATAGTTGATACTATGCCCTCATTGCAAAAGGACAATTTAATTATGGGTAAGACTTAAAAAGTCGTTTTGGATTTGATAAATGAGAGTTTTGAGAGGAAAAATCTCGGCATTTAGGATGGATATACAGTACTACGAATTTGAATTTTGAAATTTGAAGAGTCTATTATTTGGATAATAGATTTATATCTATGACGAATTTGTTACATATATGATATGTCACTATTTATTAATAAGTTACAATTTCCAATTCAATATGTGAGATCTACAAGTCTATAAAGTCCACGAATTGAATCCAAAATACAGATAAAATTTATGATTTCCACAAATTTGATATTCGTCAACAAATAATAGACTATTAGACTTGAGTTAAATCCATGAAGCTTTAGAATTGAATACCAAATTCATGAACAAAATGCAACAAGCAATATACGTTTTAAAAGGCGGATAGTGCCTATTACATTAGAGCATCAACATTGGTATTGCATTCTCAATTGTAAAATGACATGGCATAGGTGTTTGCAATTGCAAAACCAATTGCATTGATGTGGCTACTAATTGCATATTTGCAAGCTTGCAACAAATGCAATTCCATATGCAAGTCAAAAAAGCCTTTAAAAATGGGGATTTTTTATTATATATTATTTTCTTTTCTCTTTTACTTAATTTTCTATAATTTAAACATAATATTTAATTACATTTGCAATTGAAAATTAATTGCATTGATGTAGGTGAATGAAATGAATGTGATGTGAATTACAAAAAATTTAAGTTAAAAATAAAAAAACACAAATGCAATTTATTTTGTAATTGCATTGATGGAGATGCTCTTACTTTGTGGTTGTGGACTTGAGAGCGGATCCCATGATCCATGACTAAGGGGGGGTCCTTAGTCACTTGACAAATGGCAGAGAAAATTGCGAATCGTTTTGGTTCGCTAGTGTGGTTTGATGACAATCCTGGGACAATGTGGGACACATATATGAGACTCAGGGTGAGTATTTCTGTCAACAATCCACTAAAGAAAAAGATAAAGTTGAATATAGGTGGAAAGCTGACAGAGTACCTGGTCAAATATGAGAAGCTCCCGATCTTCTGCTACTCTTGTGGGAGAATTGGGCACCCAAAGCTGCGCTGCCCTAAACCCTCTGGGTTGGACCCTGACCCTTTTGGCATGGATTTGAGGGCAGGGCCTCAGGGACCGAGAAGCTACATGTCACATTCAACCAAAAAGGAAGATGCAGAATTATGGGCTGTGCTGAAGAAAAAGTTTGACCTGGAAAGCATTGGCTCAAATTCTTATCATGAGATGGCCCCTGCAGAAGAAATTGCAAAAGAACATAATGAGATTCATTTGACGCAGAGAAAGGAGAATGAGATAGAGTCTTCTAAGAGGGAGACTGTGATGGCAAGCGATGAGAAGGCACAAGCAAACAATAACCCCACTTTGGGGAAGCTGGGACTGGGGGGTGCTTTACAGAAATTCGTTCAGGGATCAACTGGGACGGAACAAAGAGTAAGAAGTGGAGGCAGGGTTTGGAGGAGACAAGAGCAAATCAACCCTAGACCTACTACTAAAACCCAAGTGACACCACAGAAACGAGATATACAACCAATGGAGGGAGAAGAGGGCTCAGTGGATAGGCAAAATGAGAAAGTAAAGAAGGCGAAGATGCTGAATCTTGAGGAGGATGAAGAACCACTCCAAAACAAAACAAAATCACTTGATATGGATGGCGGTATGGCGGACTCTGCCAGGGAGCAGAGCCGCCCAGCTCAATGAGCATTCTGAGTTACAACTGCAGAGGTCTCGGGAATACCCCTGCAGTTGGTAAGCTGAAGGCGCTACTGCGCCAAACAAATCCCGACATTGTCTTCCTGATGGAGACAAGGCAATATGAAAAGGAATGGAGAGCAAAAATAAAGGATTTTGGTTTTTTTGATGGACGAGGTGTGGATGCAGAGGCAAACAGAGCGGGAGGTCTACTCCTCATGTGGAAAGAGGAGATACAGGTGGAGATCAAGGATCTCAGTTTGCATTTCATTGATGCAAAGATAAGGATGAGAAACTGCAAGAAGGATTGGCGTCTCACAGGGGTGTATGGGTGGCCTGAGGCACAGAAAAAACACCAGACATGTGAGCTGCTTGATAGACTACATAAACAGACAGATATACCTTGGGTAGTGATGGGAGATTTCAATCTCATCACCGATTATTATGAGAAGAGCGGGAGCAAGGAACCAGATATAAAAGAGATGGACATGTTTCGGGGATGCCTAGAAAGTTGTGGACTAGAGGATTGTGGGTATTATGGAAGGACATTTACATGGGAAAATAACAGAGAAGAGGAGGACTATATCGAAGAGAGGCTGGATAGGGTGGTTGGGAATAAGGAATGGCTTGAGTGCTACCCTAACATGAGAGTCTACCACCTAGACAGATGTGGTTCGGATCACATCCCCTTACATGTCAAACTAATCCTAGAAGAAGAGGAAGTAACTTGGGGGTGGTCGTTCCGCTATGAGAGATACTGGGAAAGCCACGAGGACTGTGCCAATGTCATCAGGGATGGATGGCAAGAGCAAGGCAATATGTCTATCATGGATCGAGTCAAGAATTGTGAAACAAAGCTGAAGACATGGAGCAAAACAGCTTTTGGATCACTCAAACATCGCAGAATCAAAACTGAAAAAGCGATAAAAGCACTGAGTAACAAAAGGAGAACGAAGGCCGTAATAGCACAGAGGAGAAGATTGGAGCATGAGCTAAATGACATCCTCCGCCAGGAGGAACTAAAATGGAGACAACGCTCGAGAGCAGAATGGTTGAAATCTGGGGACTTAAATACTGGTTACTTCCACAGGAAGGCATCAGAACGAAGGAAAAGAAATACAATTCGAAAGTTGAAGGATGTCACAGGGAGAGTTTATACAGGACAGGAAGGGGTAGAAGGATGCTTGGTGAACTACATGTGTACTCTGTTCACATCCAGCAACTACACAGGTGAGAGCAGAGTGCTTGAAGCGGTAGAGAGGAAGGTCACTAATGAAATGAATGAGGCATTGTTAGCACCATTCCTGGATCACGAAATATGGCTAGCTTTAAAGCAAATGGGCCCTGACAAGGCTCCTGGTTTTGATGGTATGCCAGCAAGGTTTTTTCAAAAGCATTGGGATGTGGTGGGACCAGCAGTCACAAATGAGTTGAAAGGCTATCTAGAGATGGGGGAATTTCCCCAACAACTGAATCACACTCTAGTGGCTCTTATACCTAAGACAAAGAACCCGAGTACCCCTCTGGAGTTTAGGCCGATCAGCCTCTGCACAGTGCTATACAAAATCATGGCAAAGGTCTTGGCAAATAGACTAAAAGGGATTCTGAATCTAGTGATTAGTGAGCAACAAAGTGCTTTTGTGCCTGGAAGGTACATTACTGATAATGTGTTGGTGGCTTTTGAGTGTTTTCATTCCATGAAACAGAAGAAAAAGAATAAGAAAGGGCTGCTGGCAGCCAAACTGGACATTTCAAAATCCTATGACAGGATAGAGTGGAGCTTCTTGGAAAAGATGATGAGGAAATTGGGATTTGCAGAGAGATGGATTAGTACTATTATGCATTGTGTAACAACAGTTTCCTACTCTCTATTAGTAAATGGACACCAAACTGAGGTTTTTAAACCAGAGAGAGGACTTCGGCAGGGGGATCCACTCTCCCCCTACCTCTTCCTGCTATGCGTGGAAGGACTCTCTGCTTTGACAAAGCAGGCTACAAGGGAAGGTAAGATCCATGGAATTAAGGTGTCACACAGAGCACCAGAGATCTCTCATTTGCTATTCGCAGATGACAGTATATTCTTCATCAGAGCAACAATTCCAGAATGTAAGCAGCTTAGTGATATACTCAAGATCTATGAGATGGAGTCAGGGCAGAAGGTTAATCTAGAGAAATCAGAGTTGAGTTTTAGTCCAAACCTCAATTCAAATCAAAGACAGGTTTTGGCTGCGACTATGGGGATGAAACAAGTTGATTACCATAGAAAGTATCTAGGGCTACCAACTGTTATTGGAAAGGAAAAGAGATCAGTCTTTATAGGGCTGGTTGACAGAGTCAGGAAAAAGGTAAAACATTGGAAGAATCAGACTCTCTCAATCGCTGCAAAAGAGGTACTGATAAAAGCAGTGGCCCAATCACAAGTCACATACACCATGTCTGTGTTTATGATACCAGATGGGATTTTAGATGAAATAAGAAGGGTGGTCTCGAGTTTCTGGTGGGGGCAGCGAAAAGAAGAGAAGCGAATACCCTGGAGGAGCTGGAAGAAACTATGTAAGCCAAAGGAAGAGGGTGGCATGGGGTTTAAGGACCTGAGGGTGTTTAACAAAGCTATGCTAGGGAAACAACTCTGGAATTTAATGACAAAACCAGAATCCCTAGCAGCAAGGGTACTTAAGGCAAAATACTATCCTAATGGAGATGTTATGCAGGCTCAGCTGGGAAATAATCCAAGTTACACTTGGCGGAGTCTACTCACAGCCCAGGAAATGGTTAGGGAAGGCTTGAGATGGAGGGTGGGAAATGGTGAGAGGGTGGAAATATGGCGAGATAAATGGATTCCAGAGGCTCAGGGGGACTTTTTCAAAGTGACATCAACCCCCCGAGATGAAATCAAGATGGTGTCAGAATTACTAGACACTGGAACAAGGACATGGAAGCGCAATCTTCTCCAACATTATTTCAATTTGGAGGACAGGAAAAGAATCGAAAGTATCCCCATACCTAGGCAACCTGCTGAGGATAGCAAGGTCTGGAGTCATGAGAAAAATGGCAGATATTCAGTTAAATCAGCCTATAAGTTTTGGCACAGGCAGAACCAGCAAACAAGGGAGGATAGCCTAAACATCGTGGAAGGCGAAGAGATGCCTGAGGAGATAGAGATGTACGATCCAGTGGACTGGAAACGATTGTGGAAGCTGAAAATACCTCCAAAGGTAAAGATTTTTCTATGGAGAATGATACACAACATCCTTCCCACTGGAAAGAACATAGCGGCCAAAAAAGAAGATGCTCCAACGGAATGCCCTTTCTGCAATATGGAAGAGACTCAGGAGCACATCTTCAGACACTGCCAGTGGGCGAGCAGGGTATGGAGACCCACTGAGTTTAAGACTTTCTTTGAAATGGAGGAGGATCTATCCTGTGGATCGTGGTGGTGCGAAGTTATGGAGAAAGGAAGTGATGAATTGGTTGAACAAGTGGGAATGATTCTCTGGTATCTATGGAATGAGCGAAACAACCACATGTTCAACAACAACAAATTGGAAGAATGGGAGATCGTAGGGAAGGCTCTAAGTCACTGGGAGGAATACAAATCATACCATGCAAAGGAAGAACAGGAGAAGGTGGAGGGAACTAGTACCTGGGCAAAGCCGCCGGCGGGATGGATTAAAGTAAATGTGGATGCTGCGATTTTTGCCGGCAGAGGATGTGGATTTGGAGCGGTGGCGCGGGACGAACAGGGAATGTTCTTGGGAGCATCACTCAGCCGAGAACGAATCCAGTGGCCGGTAGAGTTGGCGGAGCTTCGCGCTATGAGTTTGGGACTACGATTGATGGAGAAGCTGGGGAAAAGCAGGGGTTGATTGAATCGGACTGCCAAACCGCCGTTCTCAAACTGGTGGGGGAGGAAATGACGCTGCTGGAAGCCGGAGCGATGGTGGCGGAGCTGAAGGAGGAAGCAGGCCGATTTGGACGGGTCAGATGGACCTTTGCGAAGCGGGCCTGTAACAGAGCTGCGCATAATCTAGCCCATATGGAATGTAGTTGGGATGTTCAGGAGGACTGGGTCGGTAGACCACCCATGTTCCTTCTAAACAATTTGGACTTTGACATTTCAGGCCATTAATAAAAGCCACACATATTGCTATAAAAAAAAAAATGAAGTTGGATGGCTACACTTAGTCACCTGATCTTGGCCCGGTGGATTCTTGTATTATACAAAAGGCCCAGCGTTTGAGCGAAGCCCAGCTTCTTAAGAATCAATCAATTGCACGTAGGGAGCCGGGCCACTGCTGGCCTGCTTATTCATCAATTGCACGCAGGAGGGGTACGGGCCAACTGCATGGTATTTTACAGGCCAGGCCTGACTGCTTGGTATTTACGGGCCAGGCCCATCTTCCTGAAGACTTCCGCTCCAGTCATTCAGTTGGTTTCCTCTCTCGAGCTTCAATTTTACTACTTAACTTGAGAAATCGTCTGCGAGAGGGTTTATGAACACGATCGATAACTGAAACCCCTTCTTCTCCGCCTGCATTCCTCCCACTCCCTCATTTCCCCAAGTATTCCGCTTCCCGATTGTGGCGTGTGCACTATCATGGAGGACGAGCCCAGCATCCTCGAATCCTTGCTCGACGATGGAGAAGAAGACGTCGAGATGGTCGACGTCGAAGAGGGCCAACTCTACGAACTAACTACGGATACTACCGCCCAGGCCTCCGGCGAGGCTAAAAACAATGGCGGAGGAGAAGGGGAGTCTCCAGACACCGCTATGAATCCGAGTAAAAAGAAGAGGAAGAAGAATAGGAAGAACAAGAAGAAGAAGAAGCAGCCCGGCAGTGGCCCGGCTCCTCCCGTGGAAATAAATAGGTACGGGAATGGGAAAACGGAAATGCTGTATTGGGCTTAGGTTAGTTTCATTCGATTGCTTTTCCTCTCCTTTAACCCTAATCTCTGTTGGGGTTATTATCTATTTGTGATTGCAGGTTTGTGATAGATGCTTGTAGGCGTCTGAAAGAGAAGAAATCATACTTGGTCTACTCCGCTGTGGGGACTCTTGGAGTTGAAGCCGTGAGTGATCTGGTTAGAGAGGTTTGTTTTCTTGATCAAGACTTTCACTATGAATCCCCCTTTATCATTTTATGGTGTTTAATCCTTGCTAGGTGATGAATCAATGTTGTCTGCTACCTGCTATAGAGCCTCTTATGTTGTTTCTGCATTTGAGACCTTGTTTACGAATTTTGTGCTTTCTAGGTGGGTGGTTGTTTACTTGTTGCTATGTTTAGTTTCATCCATTCAAATCCGTTCATTCAAGTAAAAAAATCAACTTGTCATGTTTCTTCTGATGTGCCCGTTTATCAGCATCCTTCATGTTAGCACCTTGCTGTGCTTGATGATCATAACGAAGATAATAATCTGGATCATGGGATGTTTTGGCTCGATTTGGATGCTTGATGCTTACCATTCTACTCAAAGGCATTCCTCATAGTTGAATGATCATGTATGTTGTTTCCCAGACCCTTGCGGACTCTCATTGCCAGAATTTAATTCTGGTGCTTCAAATTATGTGTTCTGAGATGAGATATACCCTAGGCTTCTCTTCTCCTTTATGTAGGTTGTTTGTTCTTTTTTCTTTGTTAAGTCTTTATCCATGGGAAAGGTTGTTACCAATGAATGAAAGAAACGAAAGGGTAAAACTTCGCTCTTGGGATTCTGTCATGGAAATCATACCTGTCTTAGTTCTCTCCTTTGTCTGTGTTCCTATATTAGCCTAATAGTTATAAATATGCTGAAAATGCAATGAAATTCAGGTGGATGCTATTCAGTCGTGTGGGGGACAGATGACTGCAGATGGCAAACGTTCTAGAACAGGTGGTGGGATATTATGGAACATCTTAAAGTCAAGAGAACCTGCAGCATACAGAGAAATAATGAAGCAAGCAAAGGAGTTTGAGGTGTGTTACTATAGGTTTTTGTTAAACGACTTTTACTAGGAATCTTGTGGGGACTTCATTTGTGATAATGTCAGTTCTGTGGAGGTCTATTGATCTTCCTGTTATTTCATAAATCGCAATGCTAACTTATTTTCTCTCCTTGATTTTGCTTTCAGAAGCAATTATTTAAGCGACAGAAGATGATTATGCGATCAGCTAATGCAGAAAATGCAGTAGGTCTGTCTAATGAAACTCCATTTGCAATCACCGAGGATGATACTACAACAACGTTTGGCGTCCTTGTGCCTGAAAGCCAACTTGTAAAGGACAATGGTGAGGTGAAGCGCGGTTCTGTTCATGATAGGATTAGAGTACCTGTTTCATATGAGGATTTGATTCAGGATGAACCAAAGGAGAGTTGTTCATAGCTTTTTTTAGCGTGGATGGTGCAATTACTTGTTAAAAAGAACAGCTATATATTTTTGGGGGGGCTATTCTTGCTTTCTGATGAATGTCTTTTGTTCTCGTCATACTCCAATGGAATGCAATCGCTGTGGGAGTTCTGGTAGGTATCTCTTCTGTACCCTGTTTCATGTGATGATCTACCTTTTAGTTTTACAAAAGTCCCAAGTGAGATAAACTCCATTCAGTATGAATACTTGGCAAATTTAATCTAATGACAAGCACAGGGTTCAGGTCTTCAGGATATTGTGAGGTTTTATGCTCGTGGGAAGTGCTGCGCCACACTCACCATTGGATTAATACCGTGCCACACAAGGATCTAAAAGAAGCCTGGACTCGGATGCAAGACTTGGGATCTGAAGCCTAAGACAAGGGAAGACCCGTCCCTTCTTCTCTTTACCCCTGTTTGGTTTCTGGATTAATCTATAATAACCGGTGATCTAGTTAATCTAGTTTAGGATCCAAGCAACCCCCAAGTAGCAATTAGCTCCTGTGGAACTACTTGGCAACCATAATTTATGTTCTTCATTTCGACTCAGTTTATCCTCTCACAGTTAGAATAGGGGGATGCGCAACAGTGGCTTTTATGACATCTGGTGACAACATTCATTTCGAGCAACTATGGCGTGCTAGGGGAGATTGCATCCTTCATCCATTGTGCGAGTGGCTTCGCACGAACTTCAGTCAGTACTTTTTGATTTTGACCTTTGTTTCGAGCAACTATGGCGTGTTAACGAGACTGCAGCCTTTCATCCCGTGTGCGAGTGAGTGGGTTCTCACAAACTTCAGTTAGTGCTATTTGATTTTGAACTGCTCGACCTAGGCCATATTGCTTCGTTGGCGTTCACTTGGAGCCGAGGGTGGTTTAGAGCTTTAGGGCATCTATTCGGTGATTCCAAATGCCACAAGTTCTAGGAAACTACTATGGATAATGGACCCATGAAGGATAGGATAGATAGATAGAAAGAATAGTGCATATCCAAGATGGTTGTTACAAACTCAATAATTCAAAGACATGACCACATGGGATACAAACAGGCACTAGAGAATAATTTACACACATTATAGGAGAGTAATAACTAACAACTCTCAGAATCCAGAGTCACGTGGAGATAAAGATAAGAAGCCCAGCCATACAAACAGAAAGAAGCCAACACTCAGAGGATTGAAATGATCGATAAGCTGAAAGGAGTCCGGCTGAAATGTTTCTTCCTCCTTCATGCTTTGATTAATTTAAGACTTGCTTGAGAAAGGAATGGCTCTGATAACAACCTGGTGGTAGAGAGCAGCTAGTGCAGCCCCGATGAATGGTCCAACCCAGAAGATCCACTGCCACAAGACAAACAATAAAGCAAAATCAGAACATGAATAGAGATGCCAATATGAAGGATTAAAGTGCTGGTCTTTGAAATTGCTGTTTGTTGCTTACATGGTCATCCCATGCATGGTCCTTGTTGTAGATGATTGCGGCTCCAAGACTCCTAGCTGGGTTAATGCCGGTTCCGGTAATGGGGATGGTGGCCAAGTGTACCAAGAACACTGCAAACCCGATTGGGAGAGGTGCCAAGATCTGCAACAGAACCAGAAGTGTTTATTAGGCAAACTCCCTACTCAAAGAAGTGCCACAGCATCGTTCATCATTCATTGAATCCAGCAAAGGAAAAGAATAGCTGAGAAAAGCAATCTCCACATGCTTCAAGGCTAAAGCTAAGAAATATGAAAGGGACCTTGATAAGCGGCCAGGGTCCCATCATTACTACAGCCACCAAGAATGTCAAGGGAAAGCATTGGGACCAAAATTCACATCGTTCTCAATCCAGCCAAACCCTAAAGAGACCCATCGAAAACATCACATCCAAAGGCCCCATTTGACGGAATAATTTGCCGTCCAAATGAGGTAACTAAGAACATGTCACACGCAACATTGGCTAAGCATTCTTTATCTTGTTTGCCATTGGAAAACGTCTCAAAGCATCATGAAAAACCAACTTTAACTGGAATGCCAACCAACTAGGTTAGGCAGAAAACCATGCGTAGCTTAAAAGTCTGGCCAATATCAGATCTCGAAATGGTATCTTAAAGAATCAAACTTCGAACTCTCAATGTAAGAAAACCTTGAATTGCATACGTATAACATACACATGAATACAAACAAAAAAGTAATTAAGGGTAGTTAGTTTAGTACTAAGGTAGGTAAGGTGGAAAGAAGAGAGTAAGCATATACGTACAGGAACATGGGAGTCTCTGGCGTTTCTCTTGGCATCAGTAGCTGAGAAGACGGTGTAGACAAGGACAAAGGTACCAATAATCTCAGCACCAAGACCATCACCCTTAGTGTAGCCACCGGCCACCACGTTGGCGCCACCACCATTGACCTCAAAGGTCTGTTTTCCTTCGAACCCTCTGATCACACCAGCACCGCAGATGGCTCCAAGCGTCTGCATGATGATGTAGAACACCGCCCTTGTCAAGGACAGCTTCCTCGCCAAGAACAACCCAAATGTCACTGCTGGGTTGATGTGTCCACCTGCAGTTTACAGATCTAATCAGTAAAGTCCTGAATCACAACACATGAAGCAACACAAACCCATTTCCATATAGCTTCACCCACCAAACCAGAGCTAAAAAGTAAAAACTTCTGTTCTTTCAGGACATTCATCAAACACTTGCCAAGGAACCCATCAACCCACAATGAAATCTCAAAAAATTGATGATTTACCTGAGATACCAGCGGTGCAGTACACAAGGGCGAAGATCATGCCACCAAAGGCCCAAGCAATACCCTGAATACCCACAGTGGAGCACTTTGAAGGGGACTTGGAGACGCCCATTACAGTGAGGACAGTGATGTAGAGGAACAGGAAAGTGGCCATGAACTCGGCGATTCCAGCTCTGTAGAATGACCATGAAGAGAGCTCACCAGGCTCAAACAATGGAGCTGGTGGTGGCTCCTTGTAGTCCTTGTCAGTTTGAGCAGAGGTTCCAATGGGCTGCCTCTCGGAGAACTTGTTAGCTCCCAACCTAACATCTTCTTCCTTGCCCTCCATAGCTGCTGCGCTTTCTCTCTCAAGAAGTTTGGAGCTTTGGGGTTTCTCTCGAGAACAGAGAAATTGGGTGTTGTTGTTGGAAAGGGGAGAGTGGGTAGTGGAGACTGTGTGAGAGAAAGGGTTGAAGATAAGGGTGAGCTTTATAGAATGGTGTCCTTATTCTGTCTCATTATTAATTGCTTTGGAATGGAAGTTCATTTTTAAATTGCTTTCTTTTCACTACATTATACTATAAATATAAATATAATGCTAATGATGATAATAATCTTGAAATGCAGCCTTGTGTGACTTTTAAAAAAATTAAGTTTAGAAACATGAAAAGGATGAAGAAAGGAAGAACAAACTTAGAAGGAAGTTTTCTTGCTTCAATATTTGATGTATGAAGATTTTAACTACAGTACCCATCGATTGTTGTTTATTATTAATCAAACAAGATTTAATACTTTAAAACTATTACATATGAGTTAATTGACTAAGCGAGTATTAAAGTAATTACTTCACGTGTGTTTGAAATTCTTTTTATGAATATATGCAAATTCATATTAGTTCTCCTAATGATTTATAAGTTGTAACAAATTTTAGGTTATGTTTTAGTTTCTTTCTTCAGGTTTGCATTTCCCCCATTTAGCCCACTAGAACATTCGTTGAAGTGTTAAATTTGGGAAGGGGAAAAAGAAAGGGTGATATGATGGGGAAATGGAATTTTCTTCTTTTGATGAGTCATCATGAAATGGATGCTTTACCTTCAATCAAAAGGATTAGTGGTCATTAATCATTATGCAAAGCAAAATACCAAAGAGAATTGTCATTATCACCTCAGTAATAAACATTAGAATTGTTTTTTTTTTTAGGGTAAAAAATTATAAAGTGGAATGTAAATGTACAAAATCCAGAATGAATCCTGAAGGATTGTTCTGGAATGACCAGAGGGAAGGAATGGGTATGCTGACAGGTTGGTATTATATGGTCTCCCCCAATTTGATTGTCATTATCCTTTTAGAAGCCTCTTCTAAAAATATTATTCCCCTGATTTTCTGTTCCCAGAAGCCATTAAATAAACAAACACAGTTATTCCCTTTCTGGTTAATCAAATTGTTTATTCCTCTGCATATTATTAAGGGATGATTTGGATGGTGAGCTGTCTGTTACATTGGCCATAACTCATCATCCTCACTTAAGGGGGAATAAATAGCTCAACAAGTTTAATTGCGATTTTTTAGGGTTTTGGAGTGATTGATTAACCGAGGGACGAGGGTTAAAAGGGTAATTCTGCGGCTCCTTTGGGCTGGGTTGGTCCCGACTTATGGAAGCAGGTAGAGCTAGATGGTTCACTTTCGGCTGCGGGAGAACCATTCACAGCCACACACACAGTTGGGTTAGCGAAGAAAAAAAAAAGAAGAATCCAATGGCAGAGACGTGCCGACCGTTTTTTTTTTCTTCTGTGACCGTTGGGAAAGTGACAGCCCGGGCAGCCGCTTTTCGTCCTGCCCGAGCGCTCACACTGGGCAATTGCCAATTAGATTTCGACCTAATGATTTATGAGCTTGCCATCTTCTTAGCCATTAGAGGTGGGCCCAGGCTCGTTGCTGGATTGGGCCCAGGCTCGTGATGAAGGACGCACAAAGTGGGGCAACGGTCCAGCCGACCAGCCTAACATTTATTTATTTATTTTATTCCCCGGGTCAATACACTATCAGCCCCTTAACTTTTTTCCCCCCTAAACTAACCTGAAATCTGAATCAGTTATAAAAAAAAACTAGATTGTAACCCGGCCCGTTGGCCGGTTGCAATTTGATAATACTAATTAAACAAAATTTCAAAATTATAATTTTTTTTAGTATTTGTGTCATGATTATATTATATGTCAATGTCATGCAAATTAACAAATAATGATATTATTTGTAGGATGTTCGAGTCATTATTCTAACAAAAAATTATCCAACTGACTTGATACCAACGAACGGATATGAATATCGAAATACCTCCGAGTTCCCAATTGCCATTTTTAATGCCGGAGGGATTATGCAAGGAGAAGTCGGAATTGGGCAGGTAAAGTTAAGGCGTGTAACTTGAATAAAACAACTATGCCGCAAGAACTGAAGCTTGAATTATTATTTTTTATTATAAACAATTGGAGCCTCATATTATTTTGTCTTTTGACTTTAACCCATCAAATTGTAGCTAAATTGTCGAGTGAGGGAAAAGACTATGTAGTCCTTCCGAATTGTGCGCAGAGGCCAGCAAAAAGTGAATTAGGTGGGTGCTCTAGGAGAATGTCTTTATATTATTTGTAGGACTATGAAGCCTTTCCGGCGTGGCTTCTCTACGGCTCTTGCCTTGTATTTAGCAATGGGAATGGGCAGGTTCGGGGCGGATTTTTTGGTATTCAGGTCCGTCTTGTGGCAAGTTGGGTTCAGGTCGGGTAATTTATTACGAGTCGCAGGTCGGGGCAGGTCGATCCAACGGATATGCAATTTATATGAAAAATATTAGACATATTTGTTACTTTTATTATAAGACCAAGAAAACAAACAATATTATGATAAATGTAGTTAAATTATTGAAGAAATTAAGGTTTTCACTAATTTATAACTTTTTATAGCTAAAATATGATGCAATAAAAGGAAAATTCTATGTAATTTGACTAAGGGGTCGTTTGGAGGTTGAGATTTGAAGTGAGGTATTTAGCAAATACATGTAATGATAAGATTAAGTCGTTTTTTTGGTTCACTTTGAGTTAGAATGCATGCATTATCTTTTTGTTGGGCCCACCTACAATCACTCAAAATGAATGATTATAAATCTCTACTAAAAGGTGAGATTGTTAATGAGGGATTGTCTACCCTACTTTTTGTTTCATCATTGCTCTTCCAAACAAAGTATTTTCCTAATACATGCATTGAATCAATACATCAAATGATAATACACAAATTGTCCTAATACATCAATTTGAAGAATCACAATTTCCAAACGACCCCTAAGATTACAAGTAATTTAGACAAGAACGGATCGAGAATGGAGCGAGTCAGGGCAGGTCGGGTCGATGAGAGTCCCCATGCCCGCTCCACCCCAAAACAGACCAAACAAATCGGGTAAAACGGGTCAGATCGAAATTATCATCCTAATAGTCAGCTCTGGAATAATTCACCAAGCTTCAATTGGCCATTGTGACTTGCGTGTTCACTCACTCACACAATCGCATGGTATCGAGTAAAACAACTAGGAATTGGATTGAGTAAACAGTTTACACGAGTCTCATCTACATAAATTCATTGAAGTTTATGTGGGGTTTTTTTATATATCTATTATTAAATTTAAAAATTGACACGCTTATATGAACAAAATATGTCTCGTGAACATTTCTTCAGTAAATTGGCAATGTTTTTTATTTGATTTTTACTTTAAATGGACAATGCTTTTGTGGCTAGAAATGGTTGATCTTTAATAAAAATGTATATGTTATTGGCTATTTTAAACTACACTTATGTTTTTGTAAAGTGTAGTTGGTGAGTTCAAATTTGAATTTAGATCGTTAGGGAAAATACCTAAAATGTTTTTCAGGTTTCTTTAGGCCGTCCCTTGTTAGGGAAAACTTGTAAGTGAATGGTGATGATGAAATCCTATCACCAACAACCCCATGGATGGAAGTCAAGAATGTGAAACAAAGAAATTCAAATCAATATTCTTAGCCTGCGCAGAGACAAAACACAACATCCATATCTCCCATATCATTTTCTGTTTTAAATAAAAATAAAAGGAATAAGCCATCATTGGAAAAAAATATGATATTATTCATCCAAATTAAATGAAATGATTTATCAAATATTATCATGTATTTGAAGTGATTAAATCATAGCCCATAACTTAACATGATAAAAACAAAAAATGCAACAACCAGTTTGAGCTTCACATGCTTCTGCTGTTTTTGCTTGCCCCTTTCCTCCCATGATGAGGATTAACATTATTTTGTTTATGATTGATTGTAAATCCTATCGTGATATCTAAATTAATCTTAATTTAACAACATTCAAATGAATGGGGGAAAAGAAGAAGCTGCTGAAAGGCCAATAATGGTAGACAACTCATGCTTACAAGATATACATTCCTGGTCTCTCATGAACTCTTCACAAAGCAAAATTCTCACATGGATCCCAACCCCACCATTTGCAATGGCAATGTCAGGCTATTGAGATAGGGCAAAGGTGTCCCTTAAATGTGACAGACACTTATGATGTCACAAAGGCCAAATAACCCAAACCCTAGCAACTCAACACAAACATTAGCTGACTGTTTTCATGATTATCTAATGCTTCAAAATTAGCACTCAACAACAACCGATTTTTTTTTTAAACGATGGGAACGATGAAGATGAGAAACTTTAACTCGTAACAGTAACACTTCAAATGCTTTTTTTTATCATGTACTTCGACTTTAGGATAATATTTGTTGTATCTCATGAACTCACTTTATTTATATTGAAAATATTTTAATTTGTTGTATCATCAACTTGTTGGCCCGCTTCAAGGGTTTCCTTCACTTTAATGATGTTAAAAATTAAAATTGATCTCTGTATTTAGCGAACTAAAAAAGCAACAGAACTTTAAGCCTTCACGGCTTTAACCATATGCTGAGCGAGCTACTTGAGAATGTCTAAACGGCAAACGGGTGTCATAAAATTCATAATAAACAGGGTGGGGAACCCGATGGGACACGTGGCACGAATAAGATGTCAGTCTTCATCACTTTGCAACGGAACTTTGTCAGAATAGCCAGGCTCATTGGGCCCACCAGCCCACTGACGAGTAAGAAACCAAGTGGTCCACCCTCGCACTAAATAGACCGCCGGGCCCAACCCAGCTATCATATTTATAAACCCTTACAATGCAATTCTCCACAATATGCAGGCAGCTTCTAGCCAAATGATACCGTTGCTTAGTCCTTACTGCTTAGTGCTCTCAGATTTGACTCCCCCCCTAAATGGAAGAAGAAGAAGAAAAAAGTGTTTAATTACTTTGCTGTTGTATGTGGTTTCAATTCAATGGTTGAACCTTCGAGCTGGAATCCGTTTGTTAGTTATTTTTGGAGAAAATGGTTTCATTCAATATTTATCTTTGGGGTGAGCTTGGTGGTGTCACATGTTTTGAGTTTTGTTTGTGTTTATCTCTTTTGAAAGAAAGTACGGATAGTATCGAAAACAAGTCGAATTTTTGGAGAGGTAAGGGTGACTTTTGATTAAATTAGTGTCACTATATGTAGAATATGGACAGAAAAAAGTTAGATAAAAAAAAGAGAAATTATAAATAAAAAGGGGAAAGACGGATTTCTTTGCGTAAAAAGGTTAAGAGCCTTCGTGATTTGAGTCTGTGTAATTGTATCAAAATAATAGAACTACATACTATAGAAGCAAAACTGTGGTTTAGGGGGTTGTTTGTTTATTGGATTTGGGTCATCAATTTTGTGACCAAAATCCTAAATTTGATTGATTTATCCCTAGTCTATTGTTTGTTGATGAGCGTCACTTCGTGGAATCCCCGAATTTGGAATCTTTAGGGTTCATACAATAAATCCATAAAAACAAATCATCCAAATATGTCATACAAACAATAGACTCTTTTGAAACAAGAGCAAAAGAGCTAAATGTCGTATGAAACTTGAACCCACAATCATTGATCGTTACCATGAATCTTCCAAAACTCCCACCCTTAAAAGGGCTGGAAAGAGGGTGAAAGGAGGGAGGGAACGAGCGGGGGAGCGCATAGATTAGCTTGGATTCGTGAGTTTGTGCCCCAAAAGCTTGTTGGTCGTCTTCAAGGAGACACTACTACACACTAACGTAGGAGAGCATATCAAGAGTTGATACAACACTACTTCGACCGGTGAATTAACAAGTAAATCTCAAATGATCAATGTTGGTGTGATGGGAACATCTCTACCGTTACAAAATAACCTAGGAAGCGGGCTTGGCTCCCTCAGGCCAACTGCTTCATTTATACCAGTTCTGAAATCGGGCCTAAACAATAATTTAATGCTATGAAAACTGCTACATAAGATTACAACATATTTACCAACAAGTTACAAACCAAACTAAGCTTCATCTTCATCTTTCTTCGCCGCCATCTGCTTCATCGCTCTGTTGGAGATGGACGTGAGTGCAATGTCTCTCCGGTTGGCCTTGCGTCCATAGAACGGTAAGATCGCCTCTCATCTTTCCCAGTGCCAAAAATGTTCCTGCAAGGGTTGAGGGAGGATGGCTCCATCATTTGCAAGTGAAAGACAGCAGAAGAAGCCTTTCTTGTGTTATGCTGTTTTGTTTCCAATTTCGAGTGTCTTACCTAGGGTGAAAGGAACAATGTAGAGAAGAGCCGGCTGGCCATGCCCGTCCATCAAGTTTAGTGCAACGTATGTAATCAGAAGGCCTGTATGAACGATGAAAAAAGCTGGTGAAGAACAAAGGTAAAGTGATCGAGTAAACAATGCATATGAAATGAAATTGATTACCTAGTCCATAAGCCAACATGGCATACAAGAAGTATCCAGCTCTCAGACTCTTGTTCGCCAACCAATCGTACCTAGAACGATAGTGAGGAGTAGAAAGAAATCACAAGAAGGTTAGCAGCAACAACAGAATGTTGAAATGAATGATGTCACTATTACCTATATACCTCCAGATGACCAAACATTTGACTATTTGAAAGAAAATGACCCTATCTTTTGAAAATGACAAACATGGTCCGGTATTGACCTCCAAGGAAGAAAATAGTCATAATTTTTTTTACAAGTTTAATCTGAATTTCGATCCGACCTGTCCGGTAACACCACTTTCAGGCGACATCCAAGTTGTATTTCTGTTTCAGTTCCACAAAACAGCTACTTTTTGATGGATTTCCCTATTATGGTTGTCATCATGTCATGCTCTCCTAACAAATTCACCAGAGTTTGATGGATTTTGAGATGAATTTGTAATTTGGGTAATTTTCGTCCCCATTATTTGAAGTGTGAATCATACTCTAATTTCAGAAAGGTTAGGTCATTTTTCATCCAAATGGTCAAAGGTTGGGCTACAATAAGGTATTTTGCCTATCCTCCATCATGATGCAGGTGTCATTCAGGTTTCTGGTTCAAACATTAGCATATTCAAGCTCGACATCTAAGTGAAATGAGGACTAGAGGTATAGTGATGAGTTGAAAGTCTGAACCTGATTGCAAATGCTACAAGTAATCCAGGTAGAAGTATGTCACCAAATCCTATAATGCTGTAACCACCCCAAGGGTCAAAGAGACGAGGTATCTTTAACAGCATTGGGATGCCATCCTCTCCACTCTTATCACCACGAGCTACCTACATTAGGAAGAAGAATCAACCCACATTTCTCGAATGCAAAATAACATCAAAGGTGAAAACCAAAAGTTATTCACAGCGAAAAGGTGATTACTTGGAACTTACCACAATCATTACGCTCTCGTGGAACAGCTTCTTAGAGACAAAAACCCAGAAGATGTCATATAAGAACCCACAACTGAGAAGAACAGTACCAACCTAAGATCCAGAAACAAGCGGAGATCAGGTACGATACTTATATTATCCCCTCAGATAAAATATACTAAGGTAGTAAGGTAAACCTTGAGATTGGGCACATGGACAATCTGAAGAACGGTGAGTATCAGAGCAATCCCCTGGTAAAAAACAAGTGAAGTGCAAAATCTAAGTGACCTAGTTAAGAAGGCATGCCACAGTGGCATGCTTTTGTACTCATCAGCAAAGAAGCTTTTGTGAGAGCCATTAACACATGCATCCAACAGCATGGTATCACAAGTATGACATCAGTAGCAACTACAACGGTAATCCTATTGCCAAGAGCCTAGACTGCAGCATTCTTTGTGTCCCAAACTCACTTCCTTAGTAAACTTGCAAGTAAAGAAGCAAGAAACTGTTTACTTATTTTTTTCCTAACACCCTTCATCCAAGAGTTGCATTTTTCTGCTTGAACGTAACTATACGAACAAAGTAGACATCAACTCTCCCTATGGTAAATTTTGTACCACGTAGATGAGCCCTGACCTATATTTCTGAAGTGCAATGACGTTAACCCCACTTCTCTGTACTACACTCGTGAACAGTACTCCAAGTTCTTTGTTTTGGCTAAATTCTAAGTAAACAAGTCTCCATTAATGGGAAGGCATGAAGACTTATGCGTTCTAAGATGGAATTAAAGATACTAAAAGTCTATTAGCTGCGGTGTTTCTTGCAATAAGACAAACTTAACAATTGAAGAAGTAAACCATTAAAATAAACCAGGAAATGATAAGGATAGGATCCTTACAAGAATATCTTGCCCTATCCAAGCATAGGTAGTATTCCGATAAACAGCCCAGACTACAGCAAAAGTAATGCACAATGGGGACACAGCCAATGTTAGGTATGAGATCGCTCCCAGAACTGGCACTTTGATGAATGACTCCGCAGCACGCATGAAATACCTATTAAAATATTTCCAACATTGAAAATACAACAAAATAAATAAAACACTGCACCAACAATTCCATGTGTTATCCAACAACCAACATTGAGAAGCTCTTCTGATTTTCCAAGACCAAATGCATAACCGACTTATCTTCATGATCATCGACGTGTAAGTTCTGTTCTAACTTGAAAAAGATAAAAAGTGCAAGTCCGATGACTTCCCTTCAAAGAAACAAAGAGTCAAATGTTTCTCTAGGTTGTTTAACTTCTGTGAGATTATGCATCCCTTCTTCATCGCCTTTTATTCCAGATGCACAAGATCATTTGGACTAACACTCTTGTGAAAGCACTAAAGTCAGCTGAATGCTGAAGGATATGACCACTGATTAAAAGTTGCACCAGGCTTGTTTATTTCATGTTTTCTTGGTTGGCTCACTATCAACTTGAAGATATATTCCTGATTGGGTTTACAGAATTAATGGGATGCGCCAAATTTGTTTCAACTTAAGAAGATGTCCATGCACACAGGATAATTATGAGATTGGGTCAGAACAGGAATTGTAGTGAATGGAGCTACTATAACTAATGATAAATTGCAGGATATGGGGCTGAGCTAATGCTAAATGCCTAAATTGAGGTATTGGGGATGCTTCAGACTAAAAATGTATTCTTGTAATCCCTGAGCTACACTACATGTAAGAGCCACTCGGTTAGTTCTTTGGGTCTCTTGCTTAACTGGCCAAAGCTACTACCATTATCGGAATGTGCAGCGCAATAAAACAAGAGTGATTAAGAGAGAAAGAGAGACAAAAGTACTATACCTTGACAACAAAGCAACCAAACAAGTTTGCAGACCCTGCAGATTCATGAAACTACAATGTTAAAAGAGTATTGAAAGAAAGAAAAGAACGTTACCAGCTAATGAGTATATAACATTTCAAGGTATCTTCTGTGACCAAGGTGATCACGTGAAAAATACAGAGAGATGTATGAAATACATGAAGCAATGAGTAAGAAGGAGCGCATACCTCTACCCCACCTATGCAGAAAAGGACTACCAAAAGCTCAATGAACCAGTATGACATAAGTTTGTAGAGTAAGACCAAGAAGCATGAAGCAATCACAACGAACAACACAGCAGTGGTTGTACTAATGTCTACAACACTACTGATATCAGATCTTCTGTTGGGAAATTCTTCTGCAGCATCCTGCAGAAAAGAACAATAATGAACCAAATTTAGAGAGACAATAAAGCTAGAGCTTGATAATGAGACATATATAATAGATCACCTTCAATAGCTTATCCTGCTCGGTAGCAGCTTCTCTGGCACTCCAAGCTGACCAATAGGAAGCACATAAGATAGTGCCGACAGCCATCAACCATAGGAAGACCTCAGCTATATCAACTAGAGGCCTCTTAGGAGAGTAAAGCTGCACAGATACTGCATACAGTAACAGATGAAAGTTGAAGATAAATGTGATGTTAGAAGGAAATATTTCCAGGAAACAATACTGAAAAAGGAGAATCATTGCTATGCAACCCAGAAAAGAAAGATGACCATGGAGACTATTAGAGGGCATATGAGTCAGTATTCGCTTTGAACATAAAACAAAGAGCTTTACCTGAATCATTAGTCAATAGCATTTTTTCCAATGTCACACCAGCATCCTGGGGCAGCATAACAGCAGGTATGTGAATATCTAGATCTGTTTCATCGGGTTCGCAGACCATCTTATAAAGTTCTGCAGAAAAAAAAAAATAAAGAATGAAAAAGATCAATGAACGCCAATTCATATGACAATGCAGCTTTGGCATCTTATGTACACATAACATGTTTATAATACTGTTAACCCAAAATGATTATAGAGATGGATCAAGGAAATGAATACATAAACCAAGGAATAAGCAGTTTGCACAGAGCTGAAGTATAAAACAAAATAACTGGCATGACTAAATGTCATGAATAAATCTTCCAAGCTAAAGCAACAAGACCATAACCATTGCTTTAATTGCCTAGTTATCTCTCATGAAAATCTGTTGCTCTGAACTTGCATTGCATAATACCCACCATTATAATACTAACCTTTTTGGTTGTTTATAATAAGGATAGCAGAAGCACCAGCACCCTCAGCATTATTGGCTTTTTCAGTAAACTTGCAACCGCCTCTGTCAACCATGATTACATCTCCAACAAGCTGGCAATTGGAAAGTTTTTAGCATCACAATTCACAAGTAAATCAAACGGACATTAAACGCAATACCATCGAGCACGCTAAAGATTATTTGGAATTCACTAGATTGATGGGAAAGGGAAAAACCTTGTTCTTAGGTGGTTTACAGCAGTCTCGGGGATCTGAAAGCGAAAGGCGAGTCTGGTTAGCATTTTTCTCCTTGGACACAATGACAGTGCCAAATCTAGCACCTACACCTACAAATTCAGCATCCTCTTCGCCATTCACCCAAGTTTGAACTTTCACCTGATCACATCAGTTACAAATCGAACACACAAAATCCATTCAGCTGTGTAGTAAAGGATCATAGGTAAGAAGCTCCAAACCTAATGAGCAGCACTTTCCCTGTAAACCAATTTATGAATCTAAAAGCATTTTTTTGGCAGAAGTATCTCCAAAAGTGCACCCCCAATGATTACAGACCCTAAAGGAGAGGCAGACTTCATCCAGAAGCCAGAGAACACGAAAGAGCAAAGGAAATTCCTTGAAAATGTTCTCAAACTAACTTGCAGTCAAATTCGTCATCAGCAATTCCTAACCAATGAGGTACATCGCTCTACATCGCCTGATAACCGCAGCAGGCATACCAACGATAGAAAAAGCAATAAAATCAGAATCTATAAGACTCTACTTTTTTTCTCATTCAAGTTGGAATCTTCAACTACCCAACCATTCTACCAGTTTCACCTGAACCAAACCCATAAAACAAAAACATTTCTACCAGCTACAGACGACTCAGAGGCAGCCAACAACCAATCAAACGAGAGCCCAGTTGAGAAATCATCAAAAGAAGAAGCGGGGAAGAGAAGTAAAAGGCAGCAGCATTATGAGCTGATTCAGGGGGAGTTCAATTTTACCAAGATGAAGTCATTCTCGCAGCCAGGCTTCTTTGGAGCTAAAGCGTCATGATGAACTATATCCCCTGCCGAGACAGGGTAGGAGCAACAGACGAGGGAAAGTAAAGCTGCTAAACTAATTACGAAGGTCAGGTTCAGCAAATCCATGGAGTCCCCTTCCTGGGTTCTACTTCTCCACTGCACATCACCAAAAATTCCAGAGCAGGAAGAGAGAGAGACAGTTGCTTTTACGAGAGCAGTAAAGTAAAATAATAATAGAGGGAAAAAGGTTTGGACTTTCTGTTTTTTTAAATTTTATTCTTTCTGAATTCGAGGAAATAGGAGTAGGAGATGGATCTCTGCCATTAATGGGAGCAGAGCAAAGGAAAATGCAAAAAGAAACCCGAAGAAATGATGGAACTGACGTTTTGCAGGTACAGAAGATGATGAAGATCAACGAAGGTTTGCGGTAATACCGCGTCGTTTCTCTGCTTTCTGTTTGTTTTTGTCATGAAATGAAGAGTTACCATCAGAATCGTGGACGCCGTCTGTTGACGGTGGGAAGAAGAGGGGAGAGAGTGGTTTCCGTACCAGGTGGGACAAAGTAGAGAATTGAGATTGAAGGCTTCAACCGTATCCTCCTGTGACGTGTGCTGTAGGGCAAGTATCTGCAGTGTTGTCAATGGCTGCCTCGAGCCAAAGGCTTTCAATGAATGACCCTAGAGAGGCAACAATGGCTTCTTAATCTAATCGATTTACCACATTGTAGTAGCTCCATCATTGGCATTTGGCACCTTAACATCCAATATGACAAGCATTTTTGGTGCTGGAAGATGCGTCAAGGAAGTCGTACGAGACATAGTTGTTCTTTTAGTAAAGTGAAGATCCTTAACATTTTGTTACTAACATTGAGCAACGACATAGACTTATGGCTTCATCTGATGAGTTTGATATACGTGACATGGCACAGAGTTGTATTGTTTTGTATGGAAAGATCTAATTTTTTAGAGGTATGATGATTTCAAATAATTATTCATTGTTTGTCTCGGTTCTTACTTACACATGAAGTTAAGACCATGAGGTCGCCAATGTATTTAGTGTTGAGAGGGTGATTCAATCACTAATGTCAATGCATCTCTATCTTTCATTTCGTTGAGATGCCCGGATGATCAATCATTTGTCATAAGTTATAAGGACGGAAACTATACATATCTTTGTTTTACAATTAAGATCACATTTATTCCAACTCCAACAAGGGAAACCAGATATATTACAGTAGTGGAGCAATAATATTACAAATTTGAACCCACTGTACCGGTAACGTATTCAACCTAGCCTAGCAAGCCACTCAATCAGCAAGTGAGTTCAGTCGTCGAGGGACAACCCTCCACTTTGACCCACGGTGCCGACTGTATGGCTAATACCATTATTGCAATAATCGCCCTGCAATGCCAAGGCCAAAGACACAGATCCTGACGCAGTGCGTTTGAAAGAACCCGACAATCAGTTCGGATACACGTTGGGATCTGTTCTTGAGCAGCGATTGCGATGGCATTGTACAGTCCATAGGCTTCCGCTTGCATAGAGTTAAAACAAAAAAAAAAAGGTCTTACCCTTGTCGTCGTACACTTGACCATGAGTATTAGCAATAGTAATCTAATAAGCCGCCACTGAAGAATCCAAGACGAAGGAACCGTTCACAATTCATCAAGCACTAAAACGAGATTGGCGGTGGTAAAGCTTCAGAATGGGAACCCCAAGGATGAGCATGAGATTGTGCCGATGGAGGATGGATCTTAATAGCCATCGAACTTCGTCAAAAATCATGAAATCACAACTCGACACAATCACGGTAGAGGCCGGAGTAATTGCCTTGTCTTCGAATATGAATTTATTACTTTCTAATTCTCTCTATCTACGTGGCATGATATTTTAATTAGAGAGATGCATTGAAGTAGGGCTGATCTTCCAATTGAATAGTCTCAACTCAACGGCAAGAAAATCCCGACAAGAGGAGGAGAAGAATGTCGTTAGTTGCTGAACACACCATGTGATAGTGTCCATCGTCCCAAATGCAATGTGGCCATTCTAATTTGGCAGCCTGCTACATACACGGTTATGTCTGGCTTTGTTTCAAGTTAATTTGGATTCCCATTAAAAAAATGTATATAGCTTTGACTTATTTTAGTACCTTGTATAACAACAATAACTTTTCTTCAATTTTTTTTTACAATGAATAACTTTTCTTCAAGTTGGTTACCTTTTGTGTGATCTCTAAATTATTTGTCTTATTTTGTGTTACTCGATCACAACATCATTATACTCGCACGTCCACGATGCTCTCGAAACATGCTCCTATGACACTAGAGAAACTGTTGTCTTGAACACTCGAGTGGACGTATATTGAGCTCGAAAAAAATATCCATGGACGCTTCGGGATCCAATAAATTCGACCTAAAATAATTTCAGAGGGGTACTAAAATATGATTTTATTGGTCAATTAGTCAGTACTCATTATGGAGCTCGAGATGAGGTCTCTTTTAGTAGCTCTCTAAACTATGAAGTAGGCAAAGGAAAAACAACGTGATTACTTACATTGGTCGTTGCTCATAATTAGTGACCATTTTTGAATCATTCCTCCTCAAGTCATTGGGCGAAATGGAAACTAAAAGTATCATATATTGTTACATTATTGGCAAGTTGAAAAGCTGGTTGCTACCTGGAATGTCACTTAGATAATGTAGCCCATAACTCTTGAGTCATCCCACTTCCATTTGTTTCAATTTAATAATCCCACAGTTAAGTCCACATCATGGATTTAAGTATCATTAACGAATCAAGACTGTCTTGTAATTGATACTTTTGATAGCAGCCAGCAGCTAAACTTGGGGAACAAGATCTTGTGCTGGATTAGGTACTCAACCCACTATGATTAGCAGGATCCTCCCACCCCACAATTTCTCTTATGCCTAACTTCACCATGGAGTCTTCTGCAACAAGGAAAATGCAACTTTTAAGAGTTTTTTTCCTCAGAGGGAAAAATAAAAGGAATGATTTGATTCATTATTGTCAAAAGACTTTGGAGTTAAAAGACTTACAAAAGGTCCGAGTGTAACACAAAAAGCATATACATGAACCTTATCATCTCCAGATTCCCCCATTACACAAAAAGAGTGGAGGCCAAAGTTTGTTAGCAGAATGGAGCATTCTTCACTCCCATAATCTCATAGTAGCTACATATATGGGGAAAAGGAAGATTCTTTCTTTCTTGCCATATCGACTCAGCCACAAGAGAAGATGAAATTTTACCACCGATATTGTAAAGTTCTGAACAGCGTTCAGAAGAGAGACTCGGTTCTTTCTGGACGTCCTTGCGTCCATAGGATCTGAAGCTCTCCTCTCTTCGTTGCCAGTGTCAAAATAGTTCCTGCAACATTTGGGTTGATACCGAATTCATTTGTTAGTGAAGATGGCAGGATTGTTTCTTCTGCATTTCCAATATAACAGCATTTTTTGTTATTTTTACCGAGGGTGAATGGGACGATGTAGAGCAGTGCTGGTTGGCCATGGCCATCCATCAAGTAGAGTGCAACATATGTGACCAGAAGACCTGTTCAGACAATAATAATGCCAGACATTGGATAAAAACTGATGAACCGGAGATAAAAATAGGTTTCTTCCTTTCTTGATCGTTAAAGTCATGGTGCCATACCTAATCCATAAGCGACAATCGTGTACAAGAAGTATCCAGCTAGAAGACCCCTGCGTGCCAGCCAATCGTACCTGCATGGATAATTGAAGTAACAACGAAATAATAAAAACACTAAGCAAGATTCCATTCATATTTAAGCATGTACTCAGGTTTCTGCAGAATAAATTTCTGGTTTCGTGATTTATTTTTCGAAATATCAAGCTTTCCACAGAAACAGAGACGATTTGAAGTACGAACCTGAGTGAAAATGCCACGAGTAACCCAGGTAGAAGTATGTCACCGAAACCTATGACACTGTAACCACCCCAAGGGTCCAAGAAGCGTGGTATTTTCAAGAGCATTGGAATGCCATCCTCTCCACTATCACCACCACTGGCTACCTATTGTAACAGAAAAGCCAACAAAATCAAATTGTGAATAATGTCTGACCAACACGACAGTGAAGGCTAAAACTTAAAAGGAATCTTGCATTTGACAGTGTATGTATTACAAGGCACTTACCGCAATCATAACACTAACATTGAACAGCTTCTCAGACACAAACACCCAAAAGATGTCGTACAAGAATGCACAACTGAGAAGCACAGTGCCAACCTGATAGTTCACAAGTCGTCCAGATTGATATCAGTAAAGGCTCAGTATCATAATAATGCTAGCCTACAGAAGCATATGGTGGGCAGGTAATTAATCAAAAGAAATGCTGGACTTCAATAGCATGATACAATAAATTACCAACATAATCAATGTAAAATCAGTAATAAAATGTTATTTAACATCATAAGCAGACTTTGCTAAATAAGTTAGTAATAGGTACTTTTCTTGACCAGTGATGTTAACCTTAAATGTACAATCATACAGTCGGCTAGGTATCTCTATCACTAGGTTGACCCCTAGGGTTAAGTAAGATAATATATCTTATTATTGCATAGAGGAACAATAGGGTGGGATAAGATATAGTACCTTGAGATTTGGAATTCGGACAACTTGAAGAACGGTTACTATTAGAGCGATGCCCTGATTAAAACAACAAAATGTATAAATTATTAAATTTTGGGACCCATATGATAAATTCTGCAACAGACTAGGGGATATTTAGATCTGCCTGCCCTGCAATAGTGAGATGTACATACGGACGACATACTAACAACAGATCATGAAATTCTTTGTGTGCTTCACCAATTTTTGTACTTCAATCTAAACTAACAATCATAAATATACATGGTGGCAGTTACTTTTTTGACGAACATAATATGGTCATTCCATTTCATAGACCATTTATTTCAGAGGTTGTAGATTTCAGCCGCTAAGAGCTCTAAAACAATATATCAACAACAAAGATGGCAGACAGTACCTTTCCCCTCACTAACAAACCTTACCCTTGGTCATACAAGTTCTATAACGCTTTATTATGCAGCTAATAATTTTTCTTTAGTAATCATGAAATGAATATAAGAAGTATAAAACAAAAGCTGGTCAGCCAGAGGTCATTCTTTTGAATGGAACTACCCAACTCCTCATACATACTTTTCCCAATAAGCAATGTTATCATCTTGAAGAGCAACTTTATTGAAGTTATTAACATCTGATCCCTATAGGCTCGGATTACGTCTGATGTAATGT